CGGGCAACCGGCGGCGATGCACGGGCGGACTGGGGGTCGATGCGTCCCCCTGGAGTCAAGCCCCGTCTTGACGTTGCCCGCTCGTTTTCGGGCCACAGCTCGGCTCTCTAGAAGCCGTTCGGGACGAGTCGGGCACCCTGGGAACGCCCTCGGCGAGGCGCAGCTGCTGGAGAGTGCCACGAGGCTGGGAAGCCGCAGGGACCGACGAAGACGTCCGAAGGCCTGGATATGCGTTGGGAAACCACAGCGTCCCCCCTGGATATGCGTTGGGAAACCAGAGCGTCCCCCCTGGCTTTGCCCCTGACCTCCGTCTCGCTTCCGCTGGCGTCCTCTGACCTTCAGCCCACCCTCCGCCGAGGAAGGGGCGTCGGCCCTTCAGCGAGGCTCCTCGCGGACACACACAGGCCCCGCCCTCTCCGAGGGGACCCCCCGCGCGGGTGGCGCGCGCGCGCCCGCCGCGCGTGCCCCTTCGGGGTGCCAAGGGAGCCCAGATGAGCAACGACTTAGCGGGCGAAGAACGGTACATACAAAAGAAATTTCTTCGCCATCGCGGGGGCCTGCCTCCAGGCGGCTGGAAAGACTATACCCCTACGGTGCCACCGTAAAGGTATAAGCTTTCCAGTCGCCCTGGGACAGGCGCCCCCGACAGCGAAAAAGTTTATCTGTATACCGTTCTTCGCCCGTCAAACGACGAGGAGCGGGCCTTACGCGAGACGACATGACTCGCGACCTCACGCCGCGGACTACGCGGGTCGCCAGCGCAGCACGCCGCACGGGCAACTGGCAACGGGGGCGCCCCCGCACCATCCTGCGCGGGCAGCTCGCGCGCGGATGCCCGCGCAGCCGGCCCCGTGGTCTCCGTCGCTCAGACGGCGCGGGCGGCCGCGCCATGCGCGCGGAGAGGGCGGCGGCGCGGCACCTCGCGCATCGCCATGACCGAGTTCCGGACCTGCGCCGCGCGACCAGGGAGAGGCGCTCGGGGGGGGGGGGGGCGCGACGAACGAGAGGCCCCGAGCAGGAGGAGGGCAACACGGATCCCGGTCAGGCCCTTCCTGGGCCCAGGGATCGCTCCCCTGGCCTAGACAGAAGGCATGATATGCACCGACCGTGGGGCCTGGGTTGGGTGTGGCCAGGATTGGTGTGGGCGCACAGTAGGTGTAAGGGGGGCCCTCCGACCAAGAGTGGTTACTGCAAGAGGATGGAAGAGGGGTCCGAGACGGCAAAAGCCATGGAGCAACCTCAGCGAGCCCGAGTAACCGCCTTGCTCTGCAAGACTGATGGAGCCCAAGTTTTCGCCTCCTCCTTCTCCTCCCCCTCCTCCCCCTCCTCCTCCTCCTCCTCCTCCTCCTCCTCCTCCTCCTCCTCCACTTCGGAGTCGGAGGTCCGCGCCGACCTCCTGGGTCGGCGCTGGGCCCCCCCCCCAGCGCGGAGCTCCGGGAAGTCTGCGCGGAGCTCCGAGACACTACATGCTTGCTGTTCTTGCTGCCTCCCCATGGGCGCGTTACGGGGCACGCGGCCGCGGCTCCTCCGCGCGGGCGGCGGCACCGGCGGGCTCCTCCTCGGGGCCGCCCGCCGCGCCTCCCGGGCGGCCGCCTCGGCGGCCGCGGCCTCGGCCGCTGCTGTTTTTTGTGTCCCTCGCGGGCGCGACTTAATTGGGAGGGGGGGGGGGGGGGGGGTGGGGGGGGGGGGCAATCCCTTGACCTTTCAGAGTGCTAGAAAATAGCACTCCAGACCTCTAGATCTATCTGGACCGCCTCAAACCTCGACGGGAATTAGGACGTCGATGCCCTGGTGCCATTTTTCTGCCCTCCTGTAAGATCAAGGCATCTCCCCCCCATTGATCGCCCCCCATGAATCCACGCCCAACCCTCGCCAGGCCTCGCCGTGTCAGCCCTGAGGGTAGAGGGGCGCCAGCCTCGCTTCGGCCACCCCCGCCCCCGGCAGACGGTGGCCGCGGCCACGCCCTGGCGCAGCGGCCCGACTGTCAGAGGGGCGGGGGGGAGGGAATATCCACTCAGATCCAGAGTACCCTCCCGGGAGGCGCCCTGGCCAGCAGTGCGAGCTGCGCGAAGAGAAGCCTTCGGAGCTCCCCGCAGCCCCCCACGGAGCTCCCCAAAAAGAAGGACTGGGCATGCCCGGGAGCCTCGCCCTGCGAGCCTCGCTCCTCGACGCCCGACGGCGGCGGCGGCGGCGACGACGACGACGACGAAGACGAATGCGACGAAGCAGGGGCGGGGCCAGCGGCGACGAAGAGACGACGGCGACGACGACGACGGCGACGAGGACGGCGGCTAAGTCGACGAGGCAGAAGCGGCGCCTTGCCCCACTGGACCGTGACGCGCTTGCGGCCCTGCGGGGTGCTGGGCGTTTGGCACCGCGGGCGGCAGCTCGCCATCGCTCGGCAGTCCTTTCCCGTTGCTTCGTTCGGCTGCGTGAGTGTACTCTTGTTTTGTTATGCACGGTGACCCCACACGCTCCTCCGTGGTCCTCGCCGAGGGAGAAAAAATATCCGAGCGATGCCAAGGGTGGCGCCGCAGGCGGCGATGGCGATGGCGATGGCGATGGCGATGACGATGACGATGACGATGACGATGACGACATCATCATCGTCATCGTCATCGTCATCGGGGTGGCGCGCGACGGTGCCAGCGTTAGGTCGGGCATGTCCCCCTACAGGCGGATTTTGGACGGAAAATCAGAGGTAACACATGCTCAAAAAAATATTAGGAAAATCGTCCCCAGACTCTTCTTGGACTATTCTTGAACACTCCTCCTGCTGGCCATCGCTCGGACGTCCGTTCCCTGTGCTTTTTTCGGTTTCGTGCGTGGCTTTTTCGCCAAATGATCAAGGATGCTCCTCGATGGTCCTCGCCGAAGGAAAAATGCACACGTCCGAGCGATGCCAGGCCTGTAGGGGCACAGGCCCGACGTAAGGCCAGCCGCGAGGAGGGCAGGCAGCAAGCTGCGGAGGGCTCTCGCCGTCGTGGCAGCGTCGGCCGCCGGAGGCCCTCGCGAGGGCCTCGTTTCGGGGGCCCTCGCGAGGAACCTTCTAGAAGGCTTCCGAAGACCTTCGAGAGGCCCTGCAGTCGCTCGGACGCCCATTCCTTATACTGCATCCTCGGGGGACCTTGGCTGTCCTGTCGCGACCCTATCCGCGTCGAATCCGCGTCGAATCCACGTCGGACTCGTCGGATACGCGTCGAATCCGCGTCGAATCCGCATCGCATCCACGCCAAATCCGCGTCGAGAACGCTTGGGGTCCGCGTCGGGCACACGAAAAGACAACAATTTTGGGGACAAGCGAGGTCCCCCGAACATGCAACGTAACATTCCCCGTGCAGGCTTCGATTCCGCGCGCGTGCTTTCGCGCACGACGGCCCGGAAGGTTCCTCGGTGCTCCTCGCCGAAGGACATGCACACGTCCGAGCGGCGCCGAGCCAGAGAAGGCCGGAGGCCCCGCGGGCTCCAGCGCGCTGCGGCGGGCTCGTGCCGCGATGACGCCGGCGCTGGAGTCTGACACCGCGTGGATGCTTCGCCCTGGAGCAGCTGCGATGATCGTGTACTCCAGATTTCGTAATAAAAGGGAGGGGGTCACAACCCTCCCAGACGAGAAGTTTTAGACCCCCCAGACTATCCATGGAAGGGCGGCCCTTTGCCCAGACCCCCCCATACCCTCCAAGACAGCTCAAATTAGACCCCCCCCCGAATGTGACCCCCCCCCACTTTGTTATGGAATCCGGAGTAGCGCGGATCGTTCGATATCCGTCGATTCCGGGCACCCGGCGGCGTTCCACCAGGAGGGCGAACGCACTGGCGTCGCCGCCGCGGCAGTGCGGCGCGAACCTGCCGTGGGGAGAGGAGTCGAGGCGAGGGCGGCGGCGACGACGGCCTGCCCACGGCTGGCTCTGCTTCGGGGGAGACGTAAGACTCGGCTTCGGGGGACTCGGGGAGGCGCGACAGGGGCCATCATGAAGATGACGCGGCCCAACCTTGAAATTCGACGCGGGCTCCCGCTGCAAGCAAGCCACGGCAACGGGACCGTCAAAATTCGGGGTGCGCGCGTCAAAGAGCATCAGCTCACTCGAGCTCCAGCGTACTCGAGTTTCACCTTTCCCCGACTGGAGTTCGAGCACACCCAGAAGGGGGTCCAGCTGAAAGGAGGTGGTGCAATAGATTTCAAGTGTACTGCGCCGGAGAATTGTGTTGCATTGTATTGCAAGTAATGTGTTGCACGCGGAAATCCAGCAATACATTTGCGCCCCGGGATGTATATCTATGGCACAACCCCCTTGTCTTAGGTCGGGCATGTCCCCCTACAGGGGGATTCTAGACGAAAGATCCAAAATACCCAAAGGATACTCCAAAAAGAACCAAAAATACTAAAAGAAAATCGTCCCCAGACTTTTTTGGGACTATGTTTGAACATCCCCCCTGTAGAGGGACAGGCCCGACTTAACCCTGGTCGCTGGACCCCCTTTTGGGTCGAAGTCGGGAGCGGCCAAGAGGGGGGCGTCCAAGAGGGGGGGGGTGCAAATCATGGCCGGCGGCATGTGCGCGGCCCAGGGACGCAATAAAATAAGAAGAGGCGCCATGAAATCTGGGGAAATATCATGGCCCACGCCATCATTGTATCCCCCCCCCCAGTCATCCCTCCCCTCTTTGCCGCCCCCGACGAAACCCGAGGCGTTCGGGGATCTTCTGACCCGGGTCAATCCAGACCTGGGTCAGCAGGAAACCAAAAACTGCAATGCAGGAACAAAAAAAAAAAACTGCAACGCAGGTCTTCGCAAACCTGGGTCAGCCAACAGGCGCGGCCGCCTCGCGGCCACAAGCGGCCCGCTGACCCGGGCCAGCCAGAGGGGGTCTTCGCAGGATCCTGCAGGATCCGGCGCCCTGGCTGACCCCCGTTTGCATTGACCCCCGCCTCCAGGCTCCCGAGGCGTGGCCACAGCGCAGGCGCCGGGCCTCCCTGCCAGACGCACCGAGCAAAAACCCTGGGGCACGAGCGGCGTGCGAGGCGCGGCGCGGGGGGGGGGCGCCGCCGAGGCGCGCCCGCCGGGCACCCTCTCTCTCTCTCTGGGGGCGCCAGGCCTTGCAGGGAGCTCCTCTTCTCCCTCCTCCTCCTCGTCTCCCTTCCTCTTCCTCGTCCTCCTCCTCCTCCTCCCTCCCCCCCTCCTCCTCCTCCCTCCCCCCCTCCTCTTCCTCTTCCTCTGTCTCTCTGGGGGCGCCAGGCCTTGCATTGAGTCGGGCCTGTCCCTCTACAGGAGGAATATTCAAAAGTAGTCAAAAAATAGTCAGGGGAGGATTTTTTGACCATGTTTGAACATTTTAGGGCATTGTTGGGCATTGTTTGGCTATTTTTCAACCAAAAAAACTGTAGGGGGGCAGGCCCGACTTAAGCCTTGCAGGGAGCTACGGGAGTGTCGCCAGCCGAGCGTTTTTTTTTGATTCGGCATTTCGACATCGGGCGGCAGGGGGGAGGGGGTGCCGCCAGGTGAGCGTTTTTCTTTTCTCGGCGCTTCGACATTGGGCGGAAGGGGGGGGGGAGGGGAGGGGGGTCTGGCTGCGGGACCTCTGCTTGGTGCGACTGTTTGCAGCAGTGGGTCCTATGAGGAGACTCCACCTGCTCGAAACGGGCGCCCAAAACAGCCAAGATCTTCTCCATGGGGGGGGAGGGGGGATTGGGGGCCCGCGCCGATCGGCAAAACAATAAATAAAGAACGATCATCAGGTGTGTCCTCTGCTTGGCATGCTGCTTATTTGGCGGATTCTGGACACCCTGTTCCCACAAATGGGATATGTAAACTCTACAGTCGGCCCGTATCACAAGGATGCGCTATAAGGATGCAAGGGCCTTGGACGCCCATGTCGAAGCTTCTCGAGCGGGGCGCGGCCGACGAAAGTGGCCAAGCATGGACCGAGGAGGCAAGGATGCAAGGGTACCCTTCCTTGGGAAGGTTGCCCATCCTTATGTACTAAGCGGGCTGTATACGCCGACGCTGTTCTTCTGGCCCTGCGCTGACACTTGCACCAAAAAGCGGATCCTGGTGTAGACGGGATCCTGGTGTACACATGTTTCGCTGTTCCCCCAGGAAACGGAAAAAAAGAGTATGCACCACGCAAACCCCGACGTCGTCCCCGACCCTCAAAAAGTTCGGGGATTGAAGAGCAGCCCGCCACTGGTAATGCATATGTCCCAGCTTCGGAAAACATCTTGTCATCTCTTGGGGGCGCATGTTTTCCGTCACCCTCCCAGAGTAAGAAGAACGGCATAAACATAGACTCATGGCGCTCCGCGCGGACTTCTCGGATCTGACCTGGACCCCCGTCCCTCTGGCGCGCGGAGCGCGCCAAGGGGGTCAGCGCGGACCCAAGAGATCCGCGCGGAGCGCCAAAAATCTATCTACGGGGGGCCGCCGCGCCAGGAGAAGCCCCGAGGGGGGCGGTGGTCCTCCGGCTCTTGCTCTTACGCAGGTCTCCGAGGACTCCCATCCACGGCGCGGCCAGCGGAGCCCACGAGGCCTCGAGTGCGGCCCCGGGAGCCCTGGAAGAGGGCCCGAGACGGCCGCGGGAGGGCCCCAGAGAGCGGCGACCAACCCCCCACGTCAGGGGTCCCACGACGGCGGCTGCCAGGGCCTCGGGCATCGACCTCCCGCGCGTCCGCGGCCGAGGCTGTCTGGCAATGGGCGCTGCCGCTGGCACCGAGTCGGTGCCGAAACATGCTGGGAGCGGCTGGGACTCCTCTGCACACCACCCTGGGAGCTACGACCACCCCCCCGTCGGGGGTCCCACGGTGCGGACTGCCAGGCCTGTGGGCATCGGCCACCCGCACGTCGGCGGCCACGGCTCGCTGGCATCTGGCCCTGCCGCTCCCTGCCTCGTGGAGCTGGCTGGGGCCTCCTGCGCCTCTAGCACCAAGGGCCTGCGCGGTCGACGACGAAGTAGCCGATCCCGTGCCTCCTCCTCCTCCTCCTCCTCCTCCTCCTCCTCCTCCTCCTCATCCTCCTCCTCTTCCTCCTCCTCCTCCTCCTCCTCCTCCTCCTCCTCCTCCTCCTCCTCCTCCTCCATCTCCGCTTTGCTGTTACGCGTCACCGGAATCTCGGCACTCGCATGGGCCATAGCGGCAGCGCCTCCCCTGCACACCACCGAGGGAGCATCGACCATCCCTCCGTCAGGGTTCTCACAGTTCGGACTGGCAGTGCCTTGGGCTTCGGCCACCCGCACGTCTGCGGCCAAGGCTCTCATGCATTCAGCGCTGCTGGTAGCACCTCAGGGGTGCCTTCCCGTGCCTCCTCCTCCTCCTCCTCCTCCCTCCTCCTCCTCCTCCTCCTCCTCCTCCTCCTGCTCCTGCTCCTCCTCCACCTCCTCCTCCTTTTCCTCCTCCTCCTCCTCCTCCTCCTCTTTCCTCCGTCCTGGCTCAATACATCGCCACCTGCCTGACTCTTGCACCGCAAATTACGGTGGAGTACTGAACGCGCGCGGAGTCTGAGCAGAAAGATCCTCACATCCACTGCGCCCTTGGTGCCTGGCGAAGGGATCCCGAAACCCCAAGATGCAGCCCCAAGCATGCGAGGCCCTGATGTTTTCAACACGCGACCCCCAACAGTCCCGACCCATTCCCCGGGACAGGTTATTCATCCCGGATCTTTTTGACGGTCCCAGGGCTGGAGGGCCCCCAGAGGTAAAAAATGTCCAAAAACCCTCCCGCCGTGTCTTGGTGTACGACGCGAACATGTGTGGGGTGGATGTGGATACACACCTGGCCCGCAGCAGGAGCAGCGGGAGCAGGCCGGGGGGGGGTCGAGCAGAGGATCGGCTGCAGAATGGAGTCACCCCAGAATTGGAAGTTCCACCGAATGTTTGAAAAAGACATAGAATGTTCGTAGACCTAGGGGCATGCTACATATGATTGGCAGAATCGACAGACAGACAGACAGACACCCAATATCGGGCAGCGCCCGGCCCTGCGCGGGACCTGTGGATGGCACCGCAGGGCCTCAGATGGACTCGTACACGGAGCCGTCCTCCAGGCTCGTCCACAGCTCTACACTGCAAGCATGTGTAATCCAGACCCCGTCAGGGGTGTCATAACTGGCAGCACGAACGAAATGATTTACATCGTCAGCCCAGCGTTTTCGAGGTCTCCCCAGACGGACGGACAAATCAATTCTGGGGTAAATCAATGTTTCCTCCTCCTCCTCCCCCTCCTCCATTCCTTTCCCTTGTAAACAACTTCTCCCTTTCGCACCCCGAAGCCAGTTTTTAGGGCGGGCCGGGCGTTTCGCCCGAGAATGTCCCATCATCCATGATTCTGAAGCTGACAACAGTTTCACAGAAGGAGGGCGGGTCGTTTTCACCGCGCACATTCGTTTTGAAAACTTGCAAGAGTTTCACGAATTGAGGGCGGCTCCTTTTCAAAATGTGGCTCTCGCCTTCGCGCCGACCACATTCGATTATAACATTTGCAAGAGTTGCACGGAATTCCATCATCAACGTACCAGAAATAGTGTTTTGGATGGATTCAGGATTACGAGGCTGCAACAGTCACGTTGATCGCTGTGTTGAAGTCCCAAGAACGGCGTCCTGGCAGGATTCAGGATCGTCAAGACGCAACATTCAGGTTGATCCGTGGCGTTGGAATCCCGAGAGCAATATTTCGGCATGCCTCAGGGTCTTCAAACGGATGCCTTCCAACAAGGCAGTTCCCTGAATGGAGATGAGCCGCTGTTGGGGCCTATGACGAGGGAGCTTTGAGGGAGGGTTTATTCCAACATCGTTGATGACTCTTGGCTTTACGCTGGTGCTCCTCATCCACCTCCTCCTCCTCCTCCGCCTCCTCCTCCTCCTCCTCCGCCTCCTCCTCCTCCTGCTCCTCCGCCTCCTCCTCCTCCTGCTCCTCCTAGTCGACCCCCTACTCGAAGGGGAGGCGCCGAGAGGCCCCCCCCCCCTCCTCCTCCTCCTCCTCCTCCTCCTCCTCCTCCTCCTCCTCCTCCTCCTCCTCCTCCTCCTCCTCCTCCTCCTCCTCCGCCTCCTCCTCCTGTTGGCTCCAGTTGGCTCATTAGCTGTCCGCTACCGCTGAGCGATAAGGCAGCCCAAAAACAGTACAGAGGGCAAGTGAAGAGAGATGGGGTTCAGGCGGGGCCAGCCGACCAACCCGCAGGAACCTGCCATCCGAGCGGAACGGACCACCCGAAGCTCGCCACCGAGCTGGGGTCCCCTCCATTCCTGAGCATCCTGATGGTGAGTCGGGGTCGGCTGCCCAAGCCCACCACGGACCGCTGCGCGCCCACAAGCTCCTGCGGTGAAGAGTTTGAGGAAAAACGCAAACAAGTGTCAGGCAGCAGAGAGCAAGACAGCTGGGGGGAACAAGCCTCACTGCCTAAACGGTTTTCGAGCTGCGTCCGCCCCGCAGGGCTCAGATAACGACACCCCCAGTGCCGCCCCGATAAGCCACCCGAGGGGCGCCACTCCCTCGGGCGACCGCACACCCCCACGCACGCCAGGGCGGGGACCCCTGGCCGTGGGAAGAATGGGTGTGGATCCGCCATGAGCCCCCCGCAGGGGACCCCCCACCCGCCCAGGCACCCGCGGCGTACGGGCCGGGCCACCGCAAGGGGTGGGAAACGTGGCGACGAGGGAACGACACGACAGACGACGACAGCGACGGCGACGACACGACGGGGAAGACGGACCCCCCAGCCACGACTCCCACGGGGGACACCTGGCTGGGTAGCCAGGCTCCCGTGGGAGGCTGCGTGGCCGGGGGCCCCCCCGGGAAGGAGACCCCCCAGATCATGCGCGACCGATTTTTTTCGGTAGCGAAATGGAAAGACCGATAACGACGTCGTTACCGAAAAATTCGGTAACGAGCGGTCGCGACCGAAAACGCCGTTACCGAAAAAATCGGTAACGGTCGGTAACGCCGTTACCGATTTTTCCGAGCCTAAAATCTGACAAATTAAATTTGTCAGACCTGACGTTGCCGACCGTTACCGACCGTTACCGACCGTCGATTACAAACATGAGGTTGTTGATGACGATGGTGATGCTGATGATGATGATGGTGATGATGATAACGATAGTAACGCTGGTGATGTGTATGACATGACGATGCTGATGATGCTAATAAGTATGATGAGGATGAGGATGGTGATGATGATGGCGATTACGACGATGATGACGATCGTGATGATGACGACGATGATGTTGCTGATGATGACGGGCATGCATGGAATGATGATGGTAGTGATAATTATGAAGGTGACGCCTGCGATGGTATTGGCGATGATGATGATAATGATGAGGATGATGGTTTTGGTGATGATGATGAAGGTGATGGTGATGATGATGATGCTGAGGATGATGATGATGATGATGATGATGATGAGGATGATATGATGATGATGATGATGATGGATGATGAAGGTGATGGAGATATCCGAGTTACCAATACCACTCATAACAGCATTGCCTCAGCCTGTTTTACAGTCGCTGCATGGGTGCTCTTTCCGTTTCGTCTCGCATTCTTTCTTTTGGAATTTTCAGCGAATGAAGGGACATGTGTTAATGCGTACATTTGCACATGCACTTATACATGCAGGGAATACATCAATTGACACACAGTGGTGCAACGGGCGAGACCAACGTGAACACGGTGGTGAAACCATATGGTGAAACGCGGAAGAGAGGAGGATGACTAGGCTGATGTTTCTGATGATGTTGATTATGATGCCATGACGGCGGTCATGGTCATGCCGATGACAATGACGGTTACAACTACGACGACGATAACGACGATGTTGACGATGATGTCGATGCTAATGGTGTTGGGGATGACACCATAGTGGTTATGATGGTGGCACCGACACCATGGTGATGCCCATTCCATGACGTTGATCGTGGCGATGACGCGGGCGACGGCGATGATGATGAGGATGATGTCAGACCGACACCATACATGACGTCAGATCTGACGTCAGAACAGTGTCGGGCCTGACGTCAGACCTGACGTCAGACCGACGTCCGACCTGACGTCAGGCCTGACGTCAGACCAACGTCAGATCTGACGTCAGGCCTGACGTCAGACCAACGTCAGACCAACGTCAGATCTGACGTCAGATCTGACGTCAGATCTGACGTCAGACGTGACGCCAGACATGACGTCAGACCGAACGTCAGACCGAACGTCAGACCGAACGCCCTTCCTGACGTCAGAGTTTATGTCAGCGATTCTGATGGTGATGACATTGACGATGATGATTACGATGATGGTGATGCTGATGATTACGACGGTGATGATGAGGATGCCGATTTAGATACTGATGCTGATGACGATGATGATGATGCTGATAATGACGACGGTGATGATGAAGTTGACGATGCTGATCATTATGGTGGCGATCCTGATGACGGTGAATCTGATGATGCTATCGATGCTGAGGATGATGATGATTACGAGTGTGCTCATGATGCTGACGATGCTAATGTTGGCGATGATGTTGATGACGACGACGATGATGATGATGGCGATGTCGACGAGGATGCTGATGGCGATGATGATGACGATGATGATGATGGCGATGATGATGACGATGATGATTGTGCTGGTGATGGTGATGTCGACGAGGATGATGGCGATACTGATGATGATGGTGTTGGTGATGTCGGCGAGAATGATTGCGATACTGATGATGATGGTGCTGGTGATGCTGCTCATGATCATGCTGATACGCATGACGATGCTCATGAAGATGACGATGGGGGGGGGGAGGATGGCGACGATGCCGATGACGATGATGATGCTGATGCCCTTGATGATGATGACGATGATGGTGATGCTGATGATGATGATGTTGATGATGGTGATTGTGATGATGATGATGTTGATGATGATGATGATGATGATGGTGATGGTGATGCTGATGATGATGATGATGTTGATGATGATGCTGATGATGTGGATGATGGGGCGGACGAGGGGCGGGGGGGGGCGAGGGAGGGGGGACGAGGGGTGAAGGGGGAGGGGGAGGAGGAGGAGGAGGCGGAGGAGGAGGATGAGGAGGAGGAGAAGGAGGAGGAGGAAGACGAGGAGGACGAGGAGGAGGAGGAGGAGGAGGAGGAGGAGGAGGGGGAGGGGGAGGAGGGTGGTGAGGATGCGCTGGCGCGTGCCGCCGCCTTCGGGGACGCGTCCTGCCCGACGACCCGTGCCCGATCACCAGCATCAGCAACATCATCATATCATCATTATTATCATCATCATCATCAGCCTCAGCATCACCATCATCATGATCGTTATCGTCATCATGCGCAACATTGTCATCATCATCGTCACTTGCATCATCAGTATCAACATCATCATCATCATCATCATCGTCATCAACACCGCCATCATACTCATAATATGTTTCATCATCGCCCTTATCAGCATCCGCATCGTTGCCATCTTCGTCATCACCAGCAACATCAGTACCATCAGCATCATCACCATCACCATCACCACCATCAGCAGCACCATCATCACCATCAACAACCTCAGCATCGTCACCACCGCCACCTCATCCCACCTGCTCCTCGGTATCGTCATCTTCTCCTCTTCCTCGTCCTCCGCCTCCTTCTCATCCACCTCCTCCTTCTCCTCCTCCCCCTCTCCCTGGTCGTCCTTCCTCCACCCCACGCCTTTTCTCACGCGTCGCCGACGCCGTCTCTCGGCGCTGTTTCATGCGCCGACTGGCGCAGCGGCGCACCCGCGAAGCGATGGAGGACGGGCGAGGATGGCGAGGCGGTTCTTGACCCACGATCCGAACAGTGGCGGACGACGCGCGGAGGGGGTGGGGGTTGGGGCCGATGAGAGGGGGCGGGCGGGGCGAGAGTAGGATGGGCGAGGGATGGGGGTTGGAGGATGGGAAAGATAGGAGGGTAATTGGAGGTCGATGTGACATCATTGCCGACGCGTGGGCGAGGGAGTGCGACTGCACAGTGGAAGCCCGACCACAAGAAACCGCCCGCAAGGATCGCAACCCTGGGACCTCAGGGCGAACATTGCTTTTTGATGCGAGAGCGCCTCGCCTTCCACAGCAAAACCGTCGACACCCAAGAAACCCAGTGCACGCTGGAGGCAAACGTCAGGTTTCTTGGCGTTGGCCCCCCCACTGTAACGCGCCAGCTCGCAGCCCGCAGCGGAAGGCAGAGCGCCAGACCTTCATTCCTTCATCCGCCCGTCCTTTCATTCCCCCCCATACTTCCCCATATCCAATCTCCCCCCGCGCCCCCCTGCCAGGCCGCCCCCCCTCCCCGCCCACGCCGATCCGCGCATCAGGGAAACCGCCATTAATCCCTCACATTTCTTCCCACCCATCACCGCTTGCCCGACCCCAATCCTCCCCATCCCCCTCCCATCGGGCGTGCCGCGTGCATTCCGCCAGCCATCTAGTCGTGACAGCACCGCGTGAACTCGAGGTCCGCCACCCGATATGGGCGCGCGTGGGCGCTCTGTCTCCCCGTGCCCCCAGAGCGAGGGAGGTGGGCAGGGGAACAGCCACGGGAGGGGCCATGCGATGGAGGAGAGGGGGGGGGAGGGACAGATGACGAAGGAAACGTGATGAGCAAGGGGGGGGGAGGTGAGTGGGACACCTGCATCCTCGCCTCTCCGCCTCCCCCCCATCCTCCCTCGCCCCTGGCCTTCCTCTTCTCATCCTCATCCGCCTCCCTGTTCTCGCCCCCCTCTTCCTTACGCCCATCATCACCACCCTCATCACCCACGCTACCATCATCATCATCATCATCATCATCATCATCATCACCATCACCATCACCATCACCATCACCATCATCATCATCATCATCGCCATCATCCGCATCCTCATCACCATCATCATCATCATCAGCATCATCATCACCATTACTACCATAGGGGGGACCGTTGCGGTTTCCATGACAAAGTCCCGTGTATGTCTACCGCACCTAACCTTATCTGCGATTTTGCTACACACCTTGTTGATTGGTGTTCCTACGGCCGAAGAGGCGCCAACACGTGTGATGAATCGTTGATAGTCTTCGGGCTGGTAGCACCACACGAAACGTGGATTGAGTGGTGTCTGGCGCACTAAGTGCCATAGGAAGTGGTGTTTGTTCACCACAGAATACTTGTACTTCGGGGGAACACCTTTAAACGCCCTGTCAGACAAGTATTGGTAGCACGCGAGGTAGTTATCCGCCGATGTCTTGAGTTGCGCGCACTCGGCGGGCGATAGAAAGAGCCCGCCCTGCTCGATGGTGGTATACATCTGGCACAAGCTCTTGAGCTGTAGTACCCTCGTTTTCTTCTCCGCGGTGCCATCGTTGTACTCCCTGGCCAGCGCCAGGGCCACCCTAGCGAGAGAACGTGCTTGTGCTGCCTTTACAGACTTCGACAATACTGGGAAGTCGGAGTGGGGGGAGCCTTCGTCAGCAACGAACGTGCCGAACTTGAAATGGGTGATGCGGTGATCTAAACCGAGTTCGTCATAGAGTCCCTGGATACGTGCCCAGAGCCGCTCCACTATAACTGTCCTAACCCCGCGCTCCTCTTCGCAAGCAATCTCGTAAAACAAGTTGGCGACGCTGTGGCCCGTGATTCCCAGGTCCATGGTGTGCATCACATCAAGCGATAGAGAATGCAGGGAGACCCCCCATATATTGTATATCGGGTGGTCCACTGCATAGTGTCGCGAGTGGTGCTTCCAATGATTGGGTGAATCAGCATTGAACTCGTTGAACGGGTTGTCTGATTTGTTGCACGGGCACAGCCAACAGAATTCGTTGCTATTAGACCCTGGCATCTGCAGGTAGTTCGAGTAAAACTCGAGGTCGCCCAGGATGGCGCATAGAAACCCTCGGTATTTCGTGTCGGAGTCGGTCAACCACTTGTTTGCTAGCTTGGCCCTCTCTGGATCTAAACGCATGCCGTTCCAGTCCGACCCCCTCGGCACACCAAGGGACAGCGTTCGGGGAGGCCCTCCGTCGCTCCCGCTGGCCCACTAAAGCCCCGCCACCCACTGCCCATTTCCCTGGAAGCTCCTTCTGACTGCGCCTGCCCCCGCCCTTGCACGCTGCGCCCTAGCAGCGCCACCGCGCCGACCGCGCAGCGAGCCAGGCCGTGCACTGGGCGCCCTAGACACGAGCGGGGGAGAGAGATGAGCAGGATAGACGGGGTGGCCCACACAACATGTGACAGTGCACAACACCACGGGAACCACGACGCGACGACATGGGGTGACTGCGTGCACGGGGCGGCGTAGCCTTCCCAATCCCTCGATGGGTGCTTCCCCGACGCCAACGCATTGAAGGACCACCGAAGGATTTTCCATATATGTATGAAGGTGTCGCACCCGTGTTTGCTTTGTTTGGCAAGCGTGCTCAGGGGCCACGAAACCAAGGCCATTGTCAGGCTCTTTGTGCTACCCTTGGCCAGCAGGCTCGTCATGCTGATTGATACCAGCGAGTCTCGGGTGAGGAACTCGGCCCCGTCACCGTGCACCCGCAATGGGATGCACGTGGAGGCGTGGCCGCGGACGTCCCACACAGGGTGGCCACGTAGTCGTGGTTCGTTCCTGAGACGTGTTTGAGCGGCCGCTTCCTGGATCAAGCGAAAACGGTTAACGACCGACGTGCGTGTATATGCACGCATATCGGTAACCGTTGTCGTATATATATATATAACATTGTACAACTACATATATGTATATATACATACATACATAAACATATGTGTATGTGTACAATGTTACAAGCGCATATACGCACCATGCGTGCACGACCATATACATTGGGGCTGTAGGCGGGCTGGTTAGTTGTAGGTGGGTTGGGGACGTTGTAGGTGGGCTCGGTAGGTGGATGGTTGGTTGTATTAGACACGTGTACGAATATACATAGACATGTCTGCAAAACTATAAAACGCGCGTCCTGCTGGCATGGTCCCAGAACTCACCCACGCCGGAGGTCCCGAAGATGTCGTGGAACTCCGAGGGGTAGTTGTGAAACAATGCTGAAAACCATTCGTGCGGTAATAGGACCGAGCACGTCGCGTCCGTCACTGTGTTGGTTTTCGGGTCCAAGCACGGGACCTCGATGTCCAAGGGAAAGGGTAGCTTGCTTTTGCCAAGCATGGTGTTGAGCTGCGAGTGGATGTTGCCAGGGTAGTTGCCCCATTGACCCAGCCCCGCCAGCTTGCTGATTTCTGGATGACGTAGGCCGTCCTTGTACGCTGCATGTGCCACTCTCTGAACTTCTGTTGCGGGCAGGAGGCCCCACGTCCATGACTTCAGTAGATGGGTACCTAGATTCGACAACTCCGACCCTGGGGCTGATGGGGCTGGCACTGGCACGTCATCGCTAGAGTCACCGTCCGCGGCGCGGCCATCGGGCGCCAGACGACGTGATTTCCGCGGGGGCATATTGACCGAGGGGTGTGACGGTGTGACCTCGAGCCACGCTGTCTGTCGATTGAACGAGTAACGCACGTCGTGGCGACAACAACCCTTGACGACGGACGCTAGACACACAGCAGGGCATGTGATGGCCAGGGTGGAGAGCGAGGGTGTCTGCGAGAAGACGGGCTGCAGAGGCGCAGGCATTCTGTTGGCCAGCGCGCGCTTGGCTTCATCGCCAGCGAACTCGCTAGCAGCACATGCCTGGCGCGCTCGCCAGCACAGGCCTGGCCTTCGGGTGGAAGGCCAGGCAGCTCGGGCAGCAACGCGGACCGACCTGGAACGCCAACGCCCAGACTCATCGGATTGATCGTCCAAGGTCTCGCGGCCCATGTGGTGCCAATCCCACCAGCCTTCTGGGCGTCGGTTGTTTAGAACGTTTCCTCTTCCACCCCTCCTTCCACTTCGGGGAGGGGTTTACCCCTCCCACCACCCCCTCTCCTGGACCTGGACGGCGGGTTCGCGCGTCGTCGGGGCGTTCAAAACGGCCTCGGCGGGGAAGCCAATGCACTTGGTTGTGCTAGGGTGTTTGCCCATGTTGGCCTCTTTAGGAGGGGTGCTGCAATTCCTCTCCCCCTCCCGTGATCGATCTCACCCAAGATGGCCCAAATATTACCCCCAGGGCTCCCAAGGGTGCCCCGAGAGGGCCCCAAGAGGTGGCCAGGATGCCCCAAGAAGGCCCCCAGGGTCCCCCCACGAGGCCCCCAAGAGACAACCAAGAGGCCCCCAAAGACCCCCCAAAGGCACCCACGATGCCTCAAGAAGCTTCGGCGAACATGCCAAAGCATGAGTTCACTAAGGTGTTCGCCACATATTGGACTGATTGGGATGACTCCAAGAGCGCCTGGGGATCTTAAGATGACCTCCAGGATGGCTCAAGATATCCCACGATGTCTCAGAATGGCTTCCTCCGCATGCTGCCCACTTCCCTGATCGAGGCAAGTCTTCTGGGCATCGTTTCTGGATGGGCTGGTTGCGATTCGCGAAGCGTCAACAAGTGCTTTTCGAGCCCCACGGGGGCCCGCCGCACAGCCGACGTTTCGGATCCGCTTGACCATGATGCGACGTCGGTCTGCACAGCTGCCGCCGCGCGAGCAAAAAAAACGTTTGCAGCACTCCATTGCCATGTTACCCACACGCATCTTCGAGCCAACGTGGCACACGACGCGCCTCGCGATCCTGATTCCTGACACGTGAAAGGGGCACCTGCTGGAATAATTTCTCGATGGCAATGGCGGGCAGCACCGGGCCTGCGCGGGGCCAGCTACCTAGGACTCCGACAGCAAGCTGATGCCCGAGGCGGCCACGAACGCGGCCTTCGCCTGGCTGATGACCTTCTTGGCCTGGGCGGCGTTCACCGTGTCATCCATCAGGAGCTCTTCGGAAGCGTCCCCGAGCTTCTTGATGGCAGCCATCGCCTCTAGATTCAAAGCATCATTACCGTTCGGGTTCGATCATCCTCCTCCTCCTCCTGCTCCTACTCCCCCTCTTCTTCCTCCTCCTCCTCCTCCTCCTCCTGCCTCCCGCCCTCCCTCCCTCCCTCCCCCCCTCCCTCCCTCCTCCTTCCTTCCTCCTCCATCTTCCCTCCCCCCCGCTCCATCCCCATCATCATCAGCATCAGTCTCGTCCTCCTCCTCATCTTCCTCGTCGGGCCGTTGTCTCGCACTGCCCGCCGCGAATCGACGTGGGTCGTGAGCAACAGCCTCACGACCAATGTGGGCCGCTTTCATCAACCTCAACACCACCATCGCCTCCTAGTTCCCCTCCTGTTCCGCATCCTCCTCAGCCTCATCCTCATCCCCCTCATCCTCCCATTCCTCGTCCTTAATCCTCCGATCCCTCCTCCTCGTCATCATCGTCATCCCCCCCGGTGTTCCGCCGTCTCACCACCACCATCATCCATATCACCTTCCTCCGACTCATCCTGTTCGTCTGCCCCAGTGTTGCCATTTCAGCCCTCGTCCCCCCTGCCGTTCATACATCATAAGTTCGCCATCACCCCCAGCTGGCCTTCTTGGCCTGATCCACGTCCTTGCTGCTGCAGTCGTCGCTCTTCTGGGCGAGCCTGCCGATGTTGATCAGCGCGCTGCCGCCGTCCTAGGGCGACGAACCACGACGACGATGGCGACGACCACGACGGACGACGGACGGCGACGACGACGCGCCATCGGCCAAGCGGTGCATTGTCTGGTCTCTCGTTCCATCCTCCTCATCATTCTCTTCCTCCGCCCCCTCTCCGAATGAGAGGGGAAGGGGAGATGATGCTGATGATGCTGATGATGCTGATGATGATGATGCTGATGCTGATGATGATGCTGATGTTGATGATGCTGACGATGATGATGATGCTGCTGATGATGATGATGAGGAGGAGGAGGAAGAGGAGGAGGGGGAGGAGAGGAGGGGCAGAGGAGTTGAGGATGAGGGGAGGAGAAGGGGAGTAAGAGACGGAGAGGAGGAGGAATATGAGGAGGAGGGTGCGGATGAGGAGGATGAGGCGGAGTTCGAGGCGCAGGAGCAGATCCAGGAGAGGAAGCGGGGACCATGACGGGATAGTGGCATCGGCAGCAGTAGGGCGAGGTGACATGGGAAGGCGAAGGGAATGACGTTCAGTCCGAGTCTCCTTCGTCGCCTCGTCGATCTTCTGCAAGAACTCGATGGCCTTCGCCTGGAACGTCGCGCTGTCCGCTTTGATGTCGGCGACCGTCTCGCAGCACAGCTTGAGCTTCTTGATGTCACGCTTCATCTCCTGCAGCGCCTTGGGCTGGCGGGCACGTCATGGTCGAGCATCCCGCTTGGGAGGCCCAACCATATACATACCCTGCCACGCTGTGGCACTTCGCAAGTCATCACCGCTCCAACCTGACGCTCTCAAAGCGGAGCTGGCAGCTGTCAGCTCCGTTTTGGGAGCGCCAGGTTGGAGCGGCCCCTAGCGGGTATAGACGGCACCCAAGGCGCCGATTTAGGCACGTCTACGGGCGTGGATGTTGAGTGGGATGACCAGGATGTCACATCGATTGGATATTCAGGCGGCGGAGGGCCCCGAACAGGAGGATGGGGACCAGGACATGTCCGACGACGGGGGGGGCAGGGCGAGGGTTGAGGAGACCGATGTCGGAGGGATTAGAGCGCGAGTTTCGAGCGTTGTTTGTTCCATCAGTTGCCTTCTTCTTGTTGCCGCGCCCGCGGCCTGCCTCTGGCTCGCCATCGCCCTTGTCGGCCACGGCAGGCAGGTCGAGGCCCATGTGCGACATGTTGCCTGCGAGCGAATGCACGGTTATGGGGGCGCGGAAACATGAACAGGAGTGATATGAGAGCGAGGACGGAGGGTGCACATCAGGCTGCTTCACGGGTTAGACGGGGACCAGGCCGAGGGGGGCGTACAGGGATTCGTACATAATATATGGGGGTATGGAATATGTTAGTTCCCTTGTTCCTCATCTTCCTCCTTTCCACCGAGCCATCGTGCTTATCCGCCATCGCAATGATCTGCATACCTTCCCTCATCCGGATGACGATCCTGTTCCTGCCAGGGGCCCCCCCTTGCTGCCCATGCCGCCCGCCCCCTCATCCTTCATGCTCCTCCCCCTATCTCTCCAGCGTCGCTTCGACGCCCAAGTGCCGTGGCTGACGAGATCCGTGCACATCTCCATGCCAGCCATGCCAGCGCCAAGCTGGTCGAACGAGTCCCTCGAAATGCTCTTCCTGCCAGTGCCGCCCTGCCCCTTGCTGCGAGTGAACCTTTTCTCGCCAGCGTCCTGGATCAGCTTGAACTGCTGACGCCGCGGGTTGTCTGGATTCGGGCGAGTCTGGGAATCAAATCGATTAATATAAACGTGCAGTGGGGATAAGGAGGGAGGTGGAACGAGGGGGCGGTTCAATCACACCAGCCCTTCAGGGCGTAGGTGGCTTAGCGTGTAGTGTTTTACCTGTGCCCCTTTTCACCTTCGGGGGGATGTCCCTTACCCCCTCCCCATGGACCTGTACGAGGGGTCCCGCGAGGAGTTGGAGCGTCCAAGATGGCCCAAGATGGCTCCAAGACCGCCTCGGAGAGCCCAAGATGGGCTCCAACATTGCTCAACATATCCCGAGCCTCAAGATGGCCCACACGTTGTTCCAATAGGCCCCAACGCCGCTCTACGACGGCTCCAAGTGGCCAACGAGCTCACCAAGGAGGCCCCGAAGATGCAACACTCGTTTCCCAAAAATAAGGGGCACCACTGTGTGCTGATGTCTTGCCGTTTCGCTTCGGATGGCTTTCCGAGGCCTCAAGGTGGCTCCAATATGCCCATTATTGGCCCATGAGGTGCCCACGAGAGTCCCAATACGGACCCAAGAGCGCCCGAGGGTGCCCCGAGATCGCCCCAAGAGGGCACCAATAGGCGACTTTAGGCACTGTAGAATGGCGAGTGTGATTTGGCACCACCTTGTTTGACCGACGCCCCCCAAGGTGCCCCGAAGAGCACCCCCCACGACACCCACGAGTGCACCAAGTATGCCCCCAAGAGGCGTCCAGGAGGTCCCAAGAGGCGATCACGCTGCCTAAAAGGGACCCCACGAGATCCCCAAGAGGCTTCAAGGGGACCGCCGAGGCTAGGCATCAAACCACCAACTCACAATAGGCATCCGACGAGGCTCTTATGTTCGTACGTCGTCAGTCTCATCCTCCTCCTCCTCCTCCTCCTCCTCCTCCTTCTCCTCCTCCTCCTCCCTCTCATCCTCCCCCTCCTCATATTCCAGTTTATCCTCCTCATGGTCCACTTTGTCATTAGCCGCATGCTTCTCCTCCTGCCCCTCCGACTCCCTGCTCCACCCCCCCCATCGGACGGCGTGCCCCGCCTCCTGTCTTTCTGCATGCTACCTCACTTCCCTGATCACCTCAACTCGCCTTGGCATCGTTTCTGGACGGGCTGGTGGGGGGTACGCGAAACGTCAGCAGTGAATAGGGTAGATGTCCAACTCTTCCTTATCTTGTCCCAGCCCCACTCACCCACAAGCCACGTATCTCCCCCTGTCGTGTACTACCACTGCCCGACCAGTTACCCACCGCCCTCTCGTTCCGCCATCCAGCCATGCATTGACCTCCTACCTCCCCTCTCACATCCACCCAATAGATGGGCGGGTGCCCTTTGCACGTGCGACACCCATCGGAACCTCGATCTTGTCGTTGGCCACCATCTCGTCCAGCTCCGAGTCCGAGTACACCTCCAGGGCCTGCTTCCTCGTGCACCACCTCGCTGTCCTGGTGATCGTCTCTGAAAAGCTCAGCTTCTGCGTGATCTCCATGAACGCGTCGCCCAGCTGCGGGTCCACGAGGAAGCCCATGAGCAGCTTCTGCTTGGAGAGCTGCTTGCCCGTCGACGCCGTCGACGCCTGGGGCCCACGTGGCTGGACGAGGGGACATAGGAGGCGGAGATGGACGAGGACGGGCGAGAGGATGAGTGCACGAGGCTAGGGAGGGTGGTCACGCGGTGCCGTATCTGGGGCAGGTTTGGTGGTTGGGCGCATGGCCTCGACGCAGGAGCAGGAGGAGGAAGAGAGGGAGGGGAGCAGGGGGGGAGGAACATGAGGCGGAAGGGAGGGAGGGGAGGAGGAGGAGACGGATGAAGCGGAGGAGGAGGCGCAAGACCAGGACGACGAGGATGAGGATGAGGATGGGGATGCGGACGATGAGGAAGGGGGGAATGGGATGATGATGATGATGATGATGCTGAGGATGATGATGATGATGATGGTGATGATGCTGATGCTGATGCTGATGCTGCTGATGATGATGATGATGCTGATGCTGATACTGATACTCATGATGATGATGTTGCTGATGATGATGATTATGATGATGATGATGATGCTGATGATGATGATGATGATGCTGATGATGATGATGATGATGAGGAGGAGGAGGAGGAGGATGCGGAGAAGGAGGAGGAGGAGGAGGAGGAGGAGGAGGCGGAGGAGGATGGGGATGCTGGGATGCTGAGGCCGAGGAAGAGGATGGTGAGGATGAGGACGAGGGCGTAGTCGTATATGGAAGGTTTCCCCCGCGGGCCTCCTCGTAGGCCGCCGCGGCCTTGGGCTTCTTCTTCCTGGCCGTCTCGAACCGTCCATACAGCGCCCTCGCCAGGGGGCCATTGGCGATGTGGGTGCGTCGGGGGCGAGGCGGTCGCGGGCGGGGGCAACGTGACCACGTGTCCGATGCCACCGCCCACGAGCGCGTCGCCCCCGCGTCTCTCCATCGCTGCAGGCCCCCGTTTGAAGCAAGAACGGCCTGATCTCCTTCTCCGTAAAGATGCACTTGAGGTGCGCGGGGTCGCTCACGTCGGCGTGGGCCTTGAAGAGCTCCTGCTTGTCCTCGATGGAGTCGCAGGCCGCGGCCGCAGACGCGAGCTTCTCGCAGGACCACCTCCGAGCGGAGGTGGCGGGATCTTCTCACCTGCCTCCCCCGCCCAGTACATTGCTCCCTCCCACTCGGTTCCCACCTCCACTCTCACCAATGTAAATGCACAACGCTCAGTCCCATTGTCCAATGGAAATGAGCGGGATGGAGCAGGACACGCATGGGGGATTCCAGATGAGGAGATACGATGTATTAATGGAGTGGAAGGCGCAGTAGAACGTGAAGGAGCGGCCAGGGAGGTTGATTTCAAGCTCCGCCCACGTCTCTCCACCACCCGCGCTGGCGGGCTTCTTGTTCATCATGGCCTTCGCCTTGAGCTTCCCGCGGACGGCTGGGGCCTTCGCCGCCGCCTTGACCTTCGTCTTCTTCATCACTTGCACCATCGAGCCAGGCCCCTTGGACGCGTGGGCGTCGGGTGCGGGCTCGATTGTGCGAACCTGGAACCGCTCGAGCCTCGCGCCTCTCGTGAGAGCCCGAACGAACTGTCCAGTCTGGCATCGCACGGGCCAGCCTATCAGAACCACTTGTGCAGTCGAGCAACGTTTTTTTATGTGAGCGTGCGTGTGTGCGGTGAGTTTTTTATTTTTGTTTGCGTGCGCGTGTGTGCGCGCATCGTGTGTTTTACGGCTGTGACTGCACGATGGGTTCTCGGCTACATCGCGTCGATCTGACGACGATCTGACGTCAGTCTGACGTCAGACGGTCGATCTGACAAATGTCTGACGTCAGTCTGACGTCAGACAATGTGTCTGACGTTCGTCTGACGTCAGATGTTTGTCAGATGGAACGCCTGACGTCAGACTGACGTCAGACTGACGTCAGACTGACGTCAGATTGACGTCATATTGGCGTCATGCTGCTCATACACATTTGCAATTTGGTTGTTACTGTACCTGCTAATCGACCGTGCGATGAGTGTGTGGTCACACTGCAAACGAGGACGGGTTGCACATCGGCAGGAGCGAGGGATGCCCGCCGAGGAGGGAGGAGGGAGCGACGGGCAGGGACTGTTGAGCGACGGGGGAGAGAGGATCGACTGTGAGGGAGATACAACCGTATTGCTAGAGACCAGAACACCTGAGAGTACATGACCAACCGAGAGCGAAGGATACACGATGAGCGCGACATGGGGCATGGCGGGGGATGCGGGGAGAGAACGGACCGATATAACGTGGAAGTGGAGGACACATATGGAGGAGGGGGAGGCGTGAGCGATGAGAGGGGGAGACGTGGGACTCGACGATAGCATCACTCGTCCATCGCCCTTCCACCCGTCCTCCACCATCCCCCCTCCATCCTTCCATTCTCAGCCCCTCCCCCCTCTGACATCCCCCCATCCGCCTCCCTCCGTGCTGCGTGCCTAATAGGATGTCTTGCGCACCAGCTCCACCCTCCTTGTATCCACCCCCATGCGCTCACACATCCAGCCCCTGTCGCTCTCGATCCCTCCATGCCCGCCCACCCTCTCCCCTCAATGACCACCTCCCCCATCCCGCCTCCCCCCTTCCTCTATGACTACTCCGTCTAGCTATCCGTTCCCCACCCACATGCCATCCATCAGCCATTATCTCTCCACCCTACTGTCCCATCCTCCGCCCGCACCCCCACCTTGCATCGCCGCCATCCTCCATCTGCATTTCTCCTGTTCCTCACCCTCTTCCTCCTCTAGCGCCCCCATCTTCACCCTCCTCATCCGCACCCCCCCCTCATCGCTCGGCACGATCGGCGGTCTGGAAGCAAGGGGCCGCTCGACGTGAACATGAGACGGCGAGGAGGAGGACGAGGGGAGCGAGGCGGCCGAGCCACAACCGCACCTTTAGACAGGATTCTCCTTCCTCCTCACACTCCTCCTCCTCCTCCTCCTCATCCTCCTCATCCTCATCCTCATCCTCATCCTCCTCCTCCTCCTCCTCCTCCTCCTCCTCCTCCCCGTCATCCTCCACCTCCGATGCCGCCCCCTCCCCCTCCGCTGACCGCCACGCCAGTTAGTTACATCTAGCGTAAGGGGGTGGGGGGTGGGGGTCGGGGAGGGTCGAGAATTGTTCGCGACCCCACATACACGCCTACACATCACGCGTGACATGTCGAAGTTTTGCTCGGTCACTGCCAACGTGACCAGCCGTATGCACTAACCTGTGAATCCCAACAGCCCTTTAGGGCGTGCGCGTGTGCTCCAGCGTGCCGCGTCGTCAGTCCTTCGGGGAGGGGCGCGCCCCCCCCACGTCCATCCCGTGGACGTGCATGGTGGGGAGGGGGGGAGGGGTTGGAGCGTACAATCGGACACAATATGGCTCCGAGAGCGCCTCGCAGAGCCCAATATGAGCTCAAATATGGCTCACGACATCCCGCGATGTCCAATATGGCCACCACGATGGTACAAAAGCAGCTCCAAGATCGCTCCAAGACGGATCCAACTGGCCAACGGGCTCCCCAATGAGGCTTTGAACGGGCAACCATTTTTCCAACACCTAGGGGGAACCAACGTGTGTGATTGTCTCGCGTAGTCGCTTCCGACTGCCCTCCGAGGCTTCACGATGGCCCCACGAGGGCTCACGCGGGCCCCATGAGGGGCCCGTGAGAGGCCCACGTCAGCCCCAAGAGCGTCCACGTGTGCTTCACGAGCGCACCAAGAATGTCCCAAGAAGCGATGTTGTGCACCCTGGAACGACGAGGGTAAGCATAGACCCCGTGTCTGATCGATGTCCTCCAAGATGGCCCGACGAGCGTCCCATGGCACCCAAGCGCGTCCTAAGAGGGCCCCAAGAGTTGCCCAGACGGCCCCACGAGGCGCCCAAGCTGCCTCGACGACGCCCCCAATGGGGTCACCAAGAGGATGCAATAGGCCCCCCCCCCCCCCCCCCCCCCCCCCCCCCCCCCCCCCCCCCCCCCCAGGCACCCGGATGCCCCCCACCCCCCATCCCCCAAATTGTCGCAGAGACGCTACAACATATAGGTCTTAGGTTTGGGCCCTACTCCTACTCTCATAGCATGTGTCGTATTCTTATCCCTCCTCCTCCTCCTCCTCCTCATCCTCCTCCCCCCCTCCTACTCTTCATCCCCCCCCTCCTTATCCGCTCCATCTTTCTCATCCTCCATCTGTTCCACCGCCTCCTCCTCCTCCTTCTCCTCCCTCTCCTCCTCCCCCCCCCATCGCCTCGGACGGTTCCCCCCCCCGCCTGTTGTTCTTATGCACGGCCCCTTTCCTTGATCACCCTAACTCTCCTGGGCATCGTTTCTGGACGGGCTGGTGGCGATGCGCGCGGCGTCAGCAATTAACATGCCGATGACAACGCGTGTTACCCACTCAACCAGCACCTGCACCCGTGGTTAGGGCGAAGTATCCATCGGCGAAGCCTTGAAACACTCTAGGACGGGGGTGTGACCATGAGGAGGAGGTGAAGATGCTCGAGGGTCGGGCGACCAGTGGAAGCTCAGCGCGTGGACCACTGGGCGCTCCGTTCAACTGCGTTCGAAATTCAACGCACGGCGAGCCCTGGAAGCGCAGCACATACCCCGACAGTGTCGGGCTTCCTGTCCCTGCACGCGATGCGCGGCGGCAGCAGGCGCTCCCTGGCCTGCTGCGCATGCCTTGTGTGTGTCTCTGCCTCCTCCCAGATCCCCTCTTCGACCTCCCCTGTGACAATCGCAGCGCGCATCTCAACGCTGGCGTGTCGCGTGCCGAGGGTGTTCGGCGTCCTCCTCTCCCTCCTCTTCCTTGTCCTCCTCTTCCTCCTGGTCGGTATTGCCGCCCCTCTCGGCACGCATGCACTACTGAGCGAGAAGTGTGCCACGATATGCGACAAGCTCCTCTTTCGCGCAGCCTGACCGACTTGCGCGCTGCAGAAGTTTGGCCACCATCTCGGCGTGCTTGTCGCACATCGAGGCGCCGACCTGGATCAGAAGCCGCGGCCTGCCCCCCTCGTCCATGTGCGTGATGTACGAGGCCTTCGTGCCGTAGCACGCGCTGAGCTTGCCGAACGCAGCGTGGCTCCCAGAGCGCGGCAGGCCCTTGAGGTCGGCGATGGTGTTCTTGACCTTGCCGCCCACGGCCTTGCTCTGGGTCGTGCTCTTGCCCTTGCTCGCGCCCTTGTTCGCGTCCGTGCCGTGGGCCCGCTTCTCCTTCACCTCCGCCTTCGGACGACGGTCAAACCGTGGCAGAGTTTGGAGCTCGCAGAACGGATCTAGTCCCACCAGCCTTCTGGGCGTCGGTGGTTTAGAGCGTTTCCTCTGTCACCCCTCCTTCCCCCCTTCGGGGAGGGGTTTACCCCTACCCCCTCCCCTGGACCTGGACGGGGGGGGTCGCGAGTCGTCGGAGCGTCCAAGACGGCCTCTGCGAGGAAGCCAAACTCAGTTGTTATTAGGGTTTTGGCCTCATGCTGGCCTCCTGGGGGCTGTAATTGATATAGCCCACTTCCTGTAATCGATCCCACCTAAGATGGCCCAAATATGGCTCCACGGCTCCCAAGGGTGCCAGGGGGCCCCACGAGGTGGCCAGGACGCTCCAAGAGGCCCCCATGATGCCCGCACGAGGCCCCCAAGAGACCCCCAACGACCCCCCAGAGGCGCACACGAGGCTCCAAGAGGCCTCGGTGAGAATGCCAAACGCATTGGTTTCACTGCGGTTTTCGCCACATCTTGGCCTCTTGAGGGGGGCACTGGTTGAGGTGACTCCAAGAGCGCCTGGGAGAGCTCAAGATGACCCCCAAGATGGCTCAACATATCCAAAGATCTCTCACAATGACTTACTCAGCGTGCTGCCCACTTCCCTGATCGAGGCACTTCCTCTGGGCATCGTTTCTGGATGGACTGGTGGGGATTTGCGAAGCGCCAGCAATTTTTCTCGATTGTGCTGGTCGGGGCGTTCGGCATTGCCAGAGGTGGGCACATACACACACATATATATATATATATATATATATATGTACATACATACATACATACATACATACATACATACATACATAAATCCATACACATACATACATATATATATATGGGGGGCATGGACAAAGGGAGGGATGGGGAGATATTGAGGTTGGCCGTTGGACGTGAGCTATTCTGTATCCTGTGCGTCCTCTGTCCCTCCGCTTCATCATCGCTCCGCCTCCACCTGGTCTGCCACCGTGGCCCCTGCCCCCATCCACCTCCACCCCCGCTCATCCACACCCTCGCCCACAACATCGTCATTAGTCTTCCTATCCGTCCTCCCCCTCATCACCACAACCCAATCCTGCCTTCAGCTTCCTCTTCTTGGCTGGCACGGCCTCGGCCTTCATGGCCGACGCCAAGATGGACGCGTCATCCTCGGACTCGGCTGTAGCTCCTAGGTCGACCTTGTGCTCGTCGGGCCAGCCCTTCAGCCACTTGGAGAGCTCCTGGCCGCGGGGGAAGTGGGAACCGAGGCAAGGGCGGCTGCATTGGTTTTCGGAAGCAGAAGGCGGGCCAGGTGGGCAGCACAGCGGGACGGTAGAGACGGTATAGGGAGGCGAGGCAGGGAGATACACCCCCAGGGATAGTTCAGACCTCTGGGGTCAGGCACGAAGATTTGCCGCGGAGCTAACCAGGTGGGAGAGAAGGTGCATGAGGCATAGAGGTGGTACAGATTGCCAGGAGGGCGTGGATGAGGCAACATACGGTCATGTAACACATACGCACGTATGCCATTGTCCGTGCGCTGGTGTCCCAAGGACCATGTGAATCCAAAGCTGATTGTAATGCTGATGCGGCGATGGCGAGTCTGGTGGTGGTTGCGAGGCCGAGGGCGGGGATATCGATGGCGATGTGCGGCGATGATGGTGGTCTAACAATGGCGACGATGTCAACGGTGTCGGTGCCGACGGCATTTTTTATGTTGAGGATGATGGTGATGGTGGCCGCCATGGGGTTGAGGAGGTTAATCGTGGTGATGCTAATTTTGAGTGCGATGATGGCGCCGACGGGGGTGCTGAGGTTAACCGTGGGGTGATGACAGCTATGAGTCATGACAACGACGACTGCGATGGTGTTAATGCGGCTGCTGGTGATGGTGGTGGTGTTGCTGATTATGATGATGACGATGATGCTGACGACGGTGTTGATGACGGTGGGCGTGATGGTGATGCTGGTGATGGTAACGACCGTGCGTTTTGGCGATGGTCACGATGTTGGTAGCGATGGTGGTTACGATTGTAGGTTGGTTTGGCTACCCCAAACAGCCATCGATGGTGAGTTATGCAACGCAAACCTCGAACGCGAGCAAGCATCTGGCACGCAGACCAAAATGAAAGTAAACCCTACGCACATCGTGCAACATCACCATCATGCACCCGTGTCGTTCGTGCGGTCCTTGTAGTAGTCCCAGTACGTGTGTCGGCGCTCAGTCCCCAGCACCGCCGTCCATCATCCAGGCCGCGAGCTGCAGCAGCAGGTCGTCGCTCAGGGGCGGGTCGTCCTGTGGTGGGCTGTCCTCCATGCTGCCGTAGCTCGCCAGGCGAAGCGTCGTCGCGTCCGAGCCGACGGAACCTGACGACCACGATGCGCGGAGCGAGGTGTCGCGCACGACGTCCACGGGGGGCATCACCACCTCCTCTTTCGACTCGGGCGGCGGAGACGCAACCTGCAGCGGTTTCGCGCGTTGGTGGCTGCCTCCATCTGGGCGGGGCCGAGGTGTCATGGAGAGCATCGGACGAGTCAAGGGGTGCGGGGTGCATTTTCCGACCGCCCCATCACGTCAATCCCAGCCTAACTTATCGTCCCGTTACTCCGAAGCTCTCATGACACCCCAGCCCCGCCCAGATGAAGGGAGCCACCGACACGCAAAACCACAACCTTCAGCGGGTGCACCATCGAGGCGTCGTAGTCGGACGGCGGCGTCGGCGTGTAGATCGGACTGCAGTGCTCCGCGGCCGTCTTCATCCCGATCCTTGCCCTCTTGGAAGGAGGCGTTTCGTTCGGCAGTGACGGCCTTGGAGCCGCACGGCCCTTGGGCCTCGCCATGACGCGCAAGCGGGGGGCGCTGGTCGGCGACAGGGCGACGGCCTCATGGTCGGAGCTGCCCCCCGCCACGGAGACGATCTGCTGCCCGTCGGAGATGCCCTCGAACTCACCCGCGGCGACGGCGTCCACATCGGAAGCGCTCTCCGACGAGGGGATGGCCTCAACCTCGACGAGAGCCTCCACCGCGGGCTCGGTCTTGCCACCTGAAGCCTCCTCATCTGCTGCCATATGCTGCCAGTCGCGGTCATCCGGCAGCACCTCGGCCATCAGGACCGCTTCATCCTCTGCAATCTGGCGATCAACCTCCTTCATGCGTTCACCATGCGCCACAGCGGCAGCAATCGCCTCTGCGCGGGTGTCGGCTCTGTCACTGGGCGCCGCGAAGCTCCGCCCGCGCTCAAGGCGGCGATGCCCCTCCGATGGCGACGTCCTCAATGCCTGCTCGAACTCCGATACCTCGGGCCCGCCCTCGCGCGCAACGGAGTTGCGCGGCTCACTGGGGTCTGCCCCCCAGCGCGAGGCCGCGCTGAGCGCGGGCGCGGACTTGTGTCTGCGGCGGCGCTCCTGCCCAGACGGCCCAGCCATGACCGCTGGCGGCGAAGACGGGGAGCGAGACGCGCAAGGACCAGCCACCATCACGTGAAGGCACAACGCTCCACGAGCTCGCTGAAATTGTTTGCACCAAATGGCAACTGATCGACGATGATTACGGCACGTTCTAGTTATGGTGATTGATGTAGTGATGCCTGCGGCGATGATGGTGGCTGCGGTGAGGTGCATGGTGGTTTCGGTGATGTGAATTGACGTTATGGCGATGTGTTATGGTGTTGATGTTGGTGACTAGGCTGGTTAGTGTGATCAGTGTTGCTGTGCTGACTGCACCAGCGATGGGGGTCATGGTCACGGAGTGCAGCCCCCCCCCTGGTTGGTGGACCATGTGCTGATTTCTTCTGGTCACTACAAATGCGCGTCGAGCGAGAGCCCATTTTGAAACGCTACGAGCTTCCCGTTCCATCCATGCAGCTGCTGGAAAGGCGGCGATGATGACGTGCATTCGGTAGAGGCTGCTTGGGAAGTAAGGCGGACGGGGAGGACGAGGGGGTCGATGAGCGAGGGGGCGACTTGTGGGAGGGGGTGCGGGGAGGTACACAGGGTGGGGGGTGGTGGGACAGGCGAGATAAGGGAGGAAGGGAAATGTATGGGATGACACTAAGTAGGGGCGAGGCATGAGGCTGGGTGAACAGCAGGGGGCCCCGCGCCCAAGCGGCAACGAGTCCTTCAACTCAGCAGGGCTGAGGTCGTGGTCGTCGGTGTTGTTGCCCGCGTTGGCGCCGCCGTCGGTGATGGTGCCCGCGACGTCGTGGTCGTCGAGCGTGCCTGGCGGCGGGTGCCCCCCCGCTCGTTCGCAGGTGTATCCCCCCTCTTCGCCCCATCCCCTGTCCTCCCGCGTCATTCTCATTATTGTCAGCACCGAGCTTGACATCACCCTCATCGCCAACACCACGACCACAATCGCCCTCGGCATCGCCACATGTGTTTCATCACCGCCGTCATCATCACCAGCGCCGCCATCACCAGTACATTTACCATCATAGCCATCATCATCATCATCATCATCATCATCAGCATCATCATCATCATCATCAACAGCATCATCATCAGCATCATCATCAGCAGCATCATCATCAGCATCATCACCATCATCACCATCACCATCGTCAGCAGCGTCAGCATCACCAACAACAATATCATTAGCACCATCACCAGCATCAACACTATTATCCTCATCACCAGCCGCAGCACCATCATCATCATGATCAAGATCATCACCGTCATCATTACCATTATCACCATCGTCATCGCCACACTCCCTCGTCCTAGTCACCGACGTCGTCGTCGCGATCACCAGCATCGTCGCCGTCAGCGCCACCAATCATATCTAACCATGTTTCCCGTTGTTCCCAATCACCCCCTCGCCCTCCATGTTTCTCCATCCGCATCTCCCCTTCCGTCTTCCTTAGCGCACGTCACCCTCCATCCTTCATTCATCTTTCCGCGTTCGCTCGCCCTTGTCCCGTATCCCGTTACAATGCCCCGTCCCGTTCTCCATCCTCCATGCCATTATGTTCCTTGCATGCCCCCCACCCCCCCCTCAGCTTTCTCGTTCTCCTCCTGATCGAGCCCCCCTCCATCCGCCTCCTTCTATTCAGCCCAGTCCTGCCCCTCTACCATCTCACCCTGCTGCTCCTGCTCCTGCTCTTGCTCCTCCTCATCCGCATCCTCCTCCTCCTCATCCTCCTCCTCCTCCTCCTCCTCCTCCCCCATCATCGCCTGCATCTGAAGCAGCGCCGCCATCGTCCTCAGAGGCCATCTTGACCATCTGGCTGTCGACGCCGTCGGGGTAGCATGCGCCGCCCGCGCGGCGCCCGCGCGCCTCTGGCGGGCAGCGCCTCCTATGACGCGCAAGGGGGGAGGGCGACAAACATCATCACCGTCGTTCCTCCGCCCTCCCGCTTCCTCATCCCCCTCGTCTTCCTCGTTCTCCTCCCCCTCCTTCTTCTCCTCCTACTCATCCTCCCCCTCCTCATTATCCTCCGCCTCCTCCCTCCCCCTCTCTCCTCCTCCTCCTCCTCCGCCATCTCCTCCCGCTGTGCTTCTCCTCCTTCATCTCATCCCTCTTCACTTCCCATCCGCCCTCCCCTCTCCTCCCCATTCCGCCCTCCTCCTCCTCCTCCTCCTCATCCTCCTCCTGTTCTTCTTCACTGCTCGTACCAGTCATCGTTCTCCCCCGTTAAACCTATTCATGTTTCGGAGACCGACTGTCCTGGGCGGCGTGTCCTCGCGAGTCACCCCCATCAGGTGCAAAAAATACCACATGGTGTCCTTCCGGGGCCCGGTGCACTGCTGGAGGGCCTATGGACGCGGACATGCCGCGGTCGAATGCAATGGGGAATGCGGGTACGATGTATACACAAGTGGTAACGTTACATCCGACGTCGGATCCGACGTCAGATCCGACGTCAGATCCGACGCCAGATCTGACGTCAGATCTGACGTCAGATCTGACGTCAGATCCGACGTCAGATCCGACGTCAGATCCGACGTCAGATCTGACGTCAGATCTGACGTCAGATCCGACGTCAGATCCAACGTCAGATCTGACGTCAGATCTGACGTCAGATCTGACGTCAGATCTGACGTCATGCATGGTGTCGCACGGACGTCAGACCTGACGTCGGACCAACGTCAGATTTGACGTCCGACTGACGTCAGATCTGACGCCAGACCGACGTCAGGGTTGACGCCAGACCGACGTCAGATCTGACGCCAGACCGACGTCAGATCTGACGTCGGACCGACGTCAGATCTGACGTTCGACCAGCGCCATGCCCGCCGTCGTACGAACGTCAGACCTGACGTCGGGCCGACGTCAGACCCGACGTCAGTCCGATGTCAGTGCACCATCGTGCCCTCCCCCGATACGCTCGACCACGTCACTTCCGCCCCCGTCTATTGACGAGTCGACGCCTGCCGTCGACGAACAGCATTGTCACGCACTCTGCGGAAATGCTTCATCACGCAGACCAATTTATCTGCTAGACTTCCTCCACGGGCAGCAGGAGCACCCGCGGGTTCTTGGGAGGCCCTCGGGCACCTGTGCGAGGGGGGGGGGCTGACGGGCGGGATGGGGAACGAGCGGGGCGGGAGGCGCGCTGACAGGAGGAGGGGGAAGCCAACGAGGTGGTTGGCTGAACAATGAGGGGGATGGTAACATTGGGAGGGGGACGGGCCAACACCCTCCTGCCCCAGTCTCTGGCATGCCCCGTTTTACCGTCCACCCACACCCCTCACCCCTCCCCCCTACCGTCCCCCTCCCCCGCCTCCACCTCCTCCACCCACGTCCGCCTCCCCCCTCGTATCATCATCGTGCTCCTCCTCCTTCTCCTGTTCTTCCTCCTCCCGCTCCCCACCCCCCATCCGCCTTCTCACCCTCCTCCTCCAAGCCAACGCATCATCGCATTCCCCCTCCTTGGGATACGCAGTCAAGACGTCGACGCACGCGTCGCGCACCTCCGTCCAGTTGGCCTCGGCGGTGGGGATGTGGCGCAGCAGAACCTCCACCTGGGGTGCGGGGTCACGTGTCCCCATCCCCTCTCCCACCATTTGTCGGCCCCGTGCCCTCCGACATGCGATGCTGATGGTGATGATTACCACCACCGCCATCAACAGCAACAGCAACAGCATCATCACCATCATCCCCATCATTATCATCATCATCATCAGCATCATCAACACCACCATCATCATCATCATCATCGTCATCGTCATCGTCATCGTCATCATCATCATCATCATCATCAGTATCATCATCGGCGACAGCATCAACATCATCGTCATCATAATCCAGCAACACCATCATCAACAGCATAATCAGCATCATCATACTCATCATCACCATCATAATCACAATCACCAACACTAACAACACGATCATCAGCATCACCACCGTAATCACAGTCCGCGTGGCCAGCAGCATCATCAGCATCATTAGCCGCATCATCATCATGAGCATCATCATCATCAGTATCATTGCCAACATCATCATCAGCCGCAGCACCATCATACTAGTCATCATCACCACATCACCATTAGCACCATCATCATCATCATCCCCTCCCCCCGTCAGCTTCTTCATTATCCGTACGCTTCCTCCTTCCTATCATCGCCCCTGTTCCCCATCCTCGTCATCGCCCCCCATCGTCCTCCCTGCTTCTCCCCCATATCACACCCCTCGCCGCTATACCCCCCTGACAGCCTCGTCATCCGCCTTCGTGCCCTCCCCATCCGTCTCCCCGTCGACCTCGCCATCTCCCTCCCGTCCGCCCCCTCCTTCTCATCCTCATCATCCTTCTCCTCATCTTCCCCTTCCTCCTCCTCGTCCTCCTCCTACTCCTTCTTCTCATCCTTCCCATCATCACCACCATCACCAATCATGATATCACAGGTGGTGTTCGAAAGAGAACCGAGGTCCCCCGTCGGCCCACCATGTCAGGGTCCTTAGTCATGCTCGGGGCGTGGGCGGCCTTGTCCTTCGTGAGGTGGTGGTACCAACCTACATTGAACGCGTTCTTCGCTCCGACACGCTCGACGCATGCGAGCAGCTCCTGCGTCAACTTGCCACGATCGCCCAAGGGCGGGACGGGGCGGCGGATGACGCCCAAGTCCCTCGGCGAGGGCTTGGGCGAGGGGGACGGCGCAGGCGAATGTGCGGGCTCGCCGCATGGCGAGCGGCGAGGCCACGGGTCGCGGCCGCGAGGGCGCGACATGAGGCCTGAAACGGCCTGAGCCAAAATTGGCCGGGCGAGGGGGAACAGCGTGGAGGGGGGAGCGTGGAGGGGGGGTGCTTGGTACATCGCCCCCCCCCCCTCCGATCCACCGCCGCCTCATCCCCCTCGTAATCTCCCCCCTCCTCCTCATCGTGATCGCCCACCTTTTCCTCCTCATCCTCTTCCTCCCATCTTCGTCAACCTGGCCAGCAGCAGCATCATCATCATAACCATGGACATCATAATCAGCAACCTGATCACCATCACCATCAGCATCGCCATCATCATCAACATCACCACCACCATCATGATCAGCATCGTGATCAGCGTCATCATCATCATACTCATCATCATCATCATCATCATCATCAGCAGCGACATCATCATCACCGCCCCCCACAGTGACGGCATCATCATCAGCGTGTTTATCGTCCGCATCACCATCCACGTCACCATGATCATCATCATACTCACCATCCTCATACTCCCCGTCAGCAGCATCATCAGCATCAACATCACCGCCTGGGCGAATAGACAGTACAGCGGATATGCAGTACGGCGGATACCATCATCATCGCCGTCGCCACCACCACAATTATCATCATCATCATCGGCATCATATTCATCATCATGCCCACCACCACCACAATCATCATCATCATCATCATCATCATCATCGGCATCTTGGTCATCATCAACTTGGGCATCCGCATCCTCATCCGTATCACCATGACCATCATGAACAGTATCGTCATCATCACCATCACCATTAACAACATCATCATCACCATCAGCATCACCATCATCGTCATATGCATCGCCCCCTCCTTCGTCGCCATCATCGCCATCCTCCCCACCATCAGCAGCATCAGCAGCACCAGCATCATCACCACCATCAGCAGCATCAGCATCAGCATCAGCATCGTCATCATCATCATCAGCATCATCATCATCATCACTATCAGCGCCATCTTTTCAGCACCATCATCATCAGTATCAGCATCAGCACCACCATCACCACCATCATTACCATCATCACCGTCGCCGTCATCACCAGCATCGCCATTGTCATCACCATCATCGTCATCGGCATCAGGATCATCGTCATAATCATCACCATCTTCTTCTGCATCGTCATCATCATCGTAATCATAATCATCATCGGCATTGGCATCATCATCATCGTCACCATCCCCATCGCATCACCATAACATTCATCATCTTCCTAATCCGCAGCATCATCATCTTTCTTAGTACCATCCTTATCATTACTCATTGCTCGTAGCATGATCACCATCATCAGCATCGTCGTCATCAGCATCAGCATAATCATCCTCGTGGTCATCATCGGTACCGTCACAGCATCATAAATCATCATCGTCGTCCTCGTCGTCGTCCTCGTCATCATCATCTTCACCATCGCCATCATGGTCATCAGCATCATCGTCACCATCTTCTTCATCATCATCGTAATCGTAAGCCTCATTATCGTCATCGGCATCGTCATCATCATCACCATCTCCATCGCATGACGAAAATGTTAATCCTCCCTCTCTTTCTCTTCATCATCATCTTTCTCAGTACCACCCGTATCATCATAATCATTGTTCGCACCAGGATCACCATCATCAGCATCGTCGTCGTTATCAGCATCAGCTAATTATCCTCGTGGTCATCTTCAGTATCATCACATCATTATAAGTCATCATTAGCATCATACTCGATATTACCATTACCATCATCATAAGCATCATCATCATCACCATCACCACCACGATTAGCATCATCACCATCATCATCGCCATCACCGCCATCATCTTCATCAGTAGCGTTATCATCATCATCATCATCATCATCGTCATCATCATCATCATCACTACTATCATCATCATCATCATCAAGCAGCAACACCATCAGCATCAGCATCAGCGTCATCATCATGATCAGCATCGTCACCACCACCACCATCATCATCGTCATCATCATCATCATCATAATCATCATCACCACCGTCATCATCATCTTCATTATCATCACCCCACATGTGTGATCTGACAAAATCCTGACGTCAGACCTGATACCTGCACTAGCGCTACCGACCGTTACCGAAAATTTTTCGGTCGCGACCGAAAAACGCTACCGACCGTTACTGGTCGCGACCAGTAACGGTTACCGAAAAATTCGGTCGCGGCGGAAAGACCGGTAACGCTTTTCGCTACCGAAAAAATTCGGTCGCGCATGATCTGGGATGGGGCTGGCCGTCGGGCTGGCCGCCCGGCTGGCCATGGGACTGGCCGTGGGGCTGGCAATCGGGCGGGCCGTCGGGCTGGCCGTGGGGCAGGCCGTGGGGCTGGCCGCGGGGCGGGCAGTCGGGCTGGTAGTCTCTGTCTTCTCCCTGCCCCTTCTGCTGCGGCTCGCGACCCATTTGGCACTCTTCCCGGCGTGGGTGACTAACCGTCGCAGAATCCCTTGGGATCCGAGGGTCCTCTCTGTTTTCTCCCTGCCCCTCACGCTGCGACTCGCGACTATCGTCACATTCTTCCCGGCGACGGCGACTGACCGACGCGGAGCCCGTTGGAATCCGAGGCGGCTGGGTGTGCCAAGAGGTCGCGTTGCCAGCGGGTTGTGTTGGACGGTCGGCAAGGTCCTCCCTGACTTCTTCCTGCTCCTCCTCCTGCGATTCGCGACTAGATTCGCGCTCTTCCCGGCGGAGGCGCCCCGTTTCGCAATCTTCCTGGCGAGGGCGACTAACCGTCGCATCTCGAGGTATCATGGGCAGGGAGGGAAGAGAAAAGTCAGTCTCAGGGGAGACGCCCCGCGTAAGCGGGGCCCCAGGCTGGCAGCGGGGCCGGCCATGGGGCTGGCAGTCAGGCTGGCTGGAGGGTGGGCCGCCAGGCTGGCCGAGGGGCGGGCCGCCAGCCGCAGCGGCGGCGCCGGCCACCGCGCCAACCGCCGCCGCCGCCGCCAGCGAGGAGCCGGCAGCGGCGGCAGCAGCGGCAGCAGCAACGGCCGCCCCGAAAGCAGCCAAGACGCCGGCCACGGCGCCGCCGCCGGCCGCCGCCGCCGACGCCGGAGGGGAGCCGGCGGCGGCGGTGGCAGCAGCGGTGGCGGCGGCGGCGGCGGCAGCAGCGGCGGCGGCCGCGGGGCGGCGCGGGGCGGCGGCGTTGGCGCCGGCCACTGCGCCCTCCGCCGCCGCCGCCGCTGGCGGGCCAGCCGTGGGGCTGGCAGTCGGGCTGGCCCCGGGCTGGCCGGGGGGGCTGGCAATCACGTTGGCCGTGGGCTGTCCGTCGGCTGGCAGCCGGGCTGGCCGTGGGGGGCTGCAGGCGCCGGGCGCCTGGCAGCGAGGACGCGAGCTCGACCGCCCGCGCCAGCGACGCCGCGGCCGCCAGAGGCCAGCAGCGGCGCGGCGGCGGCGGCGGCGGCGGCCGCGGCGCAGGCAGCGGCCGGGGCGCGCGCGGCCGCGCGAGGGGCGGCGGCCGCGCCAGCGGCCGCCCGCGACGCCCGCGGCGCCGCCAGCGCCAGGGCCCCCGACTGGCGCCGACGGGAGGCTGGGCGGCGGGGCAGCAGCAGCAGGGGCAGCCGCGGCAGCGGCGGCCGAGCCGCCGCCGCTGGCTGCCTCTAGCCGCCCGCGCGCCAGCCTCCAGGGGAACGCAATGGCGGCGGCGGCGGGGCGCGCCGCCGCCCGCGCCGCCGCCGCCCGCCGCCGCCGCCTCCCGCGCGCCGGCCTCCACGGTGGAGGCGGCGGCGGCGGCGGCAGCAGCAGCCGCGGCAGCGGCAAGCGGGAGGCCCGGGCGGGGCGACCCGTCGCGGGCGGCGGCGGCCAGGCGCTGCCGCCGCCGCAGGGCGGCGCCGAAGGGGCGCGAAGCCATCGCGACGGGGCCGGCCCGGCGCGAACTTGTACCAGGGGCGGCCTCGAGCCGAGACGGCTTGAGCCAGAGGGGGGTTGCGGTCTGGAGGGGATACGCCTGAAACGCTGAATTGACTCCCGAACCAGCTTCTCAACTCCTCTGGTCATCCTGCCTCCCAAGGGCGGCCAGACCCAGAAGGCAAGGCCTCCAAGTAGAGCACCGCGGGGAAGTCCAGGTGGTTCGTCGGCTCCTCAGTGGCTCGAGCCCCTTCGGTATTAGGGTCAGGAGGGAGGAGATAGGAGGGATCAGGGAGGAGAGGGGAGGGAGGGGAGGGAGGGGAGGGAGGGAGGGAGGGAGGGAGGTCGGAGGAGGATGAGGAGGAGGAGGAGGAGGAGGAGGAGGGAGGAGGAGGAGGGAGGAGGGAGGAGGGAGGGGGGGAGGGGAGAGGAGGGGAGGAGGCGATCCAACAGCCACGACACTGGTTCCCCAGGTACGCGTGAGCAGTTGGGGGTCTTACAATGTACCAACAACACTTTTCGCTCACCCCCATGCAGATTACCTCCCTTCCCCCCCCCTCATGTGCCCAGGAGATGGATCGATGTGTTCCTGAATGCCCCGGCATGTTCCAAACGTCCTGTCCCCTGAACCCTGAGCAAGCTACATCCTCGGGCGGTCGCAGCGGAGAGGCCCATGCAGCCTCTGAAGGCAGCCACGTGGCGCGCAGATGCCTGCAAGCAGCGAAGTGGTCACGGCGTCTAGGGCCCGCTCGTCAAGCAACAGCAGCTCGGGCTGCGCGAACAGGGCCGAGGCCAGGGAGACCCTCATTCGCCAGCCGCCTGCGGGACAAGCAAAACGAAAACTCACACGGCCGCCAGACCGTGAATTTCTCGCCGCAAGACTGAGACACTTCAATCAGATGAACAGCAGAGGAAGGCAACAGCAGCTTGTCTACGCCTGCAGAGAGCAAGAGCCCAAAGGGCTTGAATAGAGCCCTCAATCCGCCCTCCCGGGTCAATTACTCTGTGCTGCACGTACTACACTTTACTCGAGAACTGCCAGCATGTACATGATCAACTGGTATCATCGGCATGTCATGTCCAACGGTAAGGGTCACAACAGACCTATGGGCGTACATTGATCATATTGTGAGCTCCCCAACACTAATTATTCTCCTTCGGCCACCTCGCTGGGGGTCTGGACTGAGGGGATTGGTTGTGAGGGGATGGAATAGCATGGCTCTGGATGTTTCCAATGTGGCTCCACATGGTCTAACATAACATGGCATCCAAGAAGGCGCAAGATGGCCCACGTTAGCCCAGATAGTCTCCAGCATACCCCCAAGAGGCTCTGAGGATACTCCAAGATTGCATTGCTCCCACCTGACCCCCCCCCCCTGTCCCGAACCTCCGAAGAATCCCCCGGAGGTCAAGCAGCAACGAAACAGCAAGGAGACATTCTTCGAGCTCCCAGAGCTCACGGGGGCCCTCCTGTAAGAGGCGGTATGCAGCATCTCCCCACGAGATCCCGATAGCCTCCCACAATTGAAGGGGCCTAGGAGCACACAAATAAACACACACACACAGATCCCAGGATTCCCCCTATGTGTCCACATCTTTGGAACTGCCGCCTTCCCCCCCACTTCCAATATTTTCCTATATTTCCTGGGGAATCGACGATTCGTTGTGCCTGTGCGTTTTTGTTCCCCTCTTGCACAAGACACCCCCGAGGGACCCACAGTGCGTCGGGGCTCGGTGCCCCGAGGGGCTGCAGGATGATGGCCCCGCGGGCCCAGAAGAGAGCTCCAGGTTGGCCGCTCGGCGGGGGGCGGTCGGTGATCTGCTGACCGGCGGTGGACAAACCTCCCTGTAGCAAACCTCCCCTTGGTGAAAACGGCCTGGGACCGAAACCGACGGACCCGGACACGCAAAAACGACGGCCGCGGCGCCCTCTCGCGAACCGAAGACGGCCAATGCCTCAATCGACGTGTCAGGGTAGGAGGTCCATCCACCTCCGAGCTGACCCGGGGTCAGTCAGACCTGGCTCAGCAGGAAACCAGAAACTGCAGTGCAGGAAAAAAAAACTGCAACGCAGGGCTTGGAAGACCCGGGCCAGCCAACATGCGCGGCCGCCTCGCGGCCACGAGCGGCGCGCTGACCCGAGTCAGCCAGAGAGAGTCTTCGCAGAATCCTGCAGGATCCGGTGCCCTGGCTGACCCCCATTTGCATTGACCCCCGTCTCCTAAGCTCCGGGGCGGCCTTTGGGCTGATCCTTCCGCTGGTTTTGCATGTGCCCTGCCTCTCTGCTTGACTGAAGGCCCCTTCTCGCGACAACTCGCATGCACGTCGCTGTCCGAGTGACCAGTGGGGACGCGCGAAACGGCACTAATATGCTTCCAGCGCTCCAATCGTGAGTGGTTTGGGACCTGGGCTCTTCCGAAACGGGGCAAGAGGGCCCCCTAGATGCCTCAAATACGGTCCGAGGGGGCCCCGAATCGCCGAACGATCGGTCCAAGATGACAGAGATGGCCTCCAGACGGCCCAAGAGGGGGCGCAGACGGGGGAACCGAACGGGCATCTCGAGACCTCGGGCTCGAAAGGCCCTCAGGAGGCCCCAGGAGGCCCCCGAGAGCACTCCAAAGGGATCCCAGGAAGCATCTCTGAGGACTCTGACCCACCATCCAGGCACGGCGGCGGCCTGGACCGAACGCCATGAAATCTATGCACTCTTGCACTTACGAACAAACGGTCTAGGGATCGAATTTGGTATCACACTCTGAATACTGCATGAAACCCGATGTCCCTCATGGACAAGGTCGGATTCGAACCAGTCAGTCTCCTGTGCTTTCGCATCTGCCTGGCAAAACAAGTGTACAATTCATGTGCGCAGTATGATCCCGCCCACGAGCGATGCTGTACATAAAACTATGCGGTGGACACTGCTTGATGTGTGATGGGAAGCCCTGCGTAATCATACCGTGCGGGCCAGATGTGCGCGCTCGCGCGCGTGCAAGGTAGACAACCATTGTGTGCTGTTGCTTTGTTGTTTGCTGCATGGCTGGCCAACGAACACCCAACACAGCACGCGCACCGATTACCGAGATCCCGAGGCCGACCATGCGATGTTGTCGTGACGGGTTATCGAGAGGATCACTTTACGATCGTGCCGAGATGACATGGAGTGACACTTTCTGATTGGGTTAGATGGGCAAGTATGAACGCGACCAGAGGCCAGAGACCACGGGCTGTTCATGGGAGCGAATTCCACCACCTACACGGATGGAGAGCGTCCCGTTGTCAAAATGGGACTCTCGCCTGAGACTTTGAACATTTCCGGATTCTCGCATGCGGCATCCTGACAGTGAACTATAAGAGTGTGCAAAATTGCGCAGCAGCTACACAGATGGAGGGCGGCTCACATGCAAAATGAGACTCTGGCCTCAAACACCTCCTCAGTTTTTCAACCAGCAGCCACTGATAAGACAGAGGCCTCCTAGATGGGGTCGAAGTAAACGTGGTCGGGAGATCGCGCCGCATCGGCGATGCATCGGGTGCGCACCGGCGATGCATCGTCGACGTCGGCGGTGAATCAGCGACGTCGACATGACGCAAATCGGGCTCCACATAGAGCCGCATCGGCGATGGTTCGGTGGTGCAGCGCGATCCTCCGACCCCTTCTACTCCGACCCCATCTAGGAGGCCTAGAGAGGAGGGGACTTGGAACGGGAAGGGGTATCGCAGTATCGTTGATACATCTTGGGCATACTCCAGTCCTCCTCCTTCTCCTCCTTTGAAGGGGTCCAGGGGCACACCAAGAAATACACACAAATCCCTGGAACACCCATATCTGCTCATGCGTTATTGGCTTTCGTTGTCCCACCCCACTGCCCATATGTTCCTACACTTTCCTGGACGTCGACCTTTCATTATCTAGGTGTGTTTTTTCCCCTCCTCCTCCTCCTCGTCTTCCTCCTCCTCCTCCTCCTCCTCCTCCTCCTCGTACCATCCTGAGCTGGAGAGTGTGCAGGCGGTCGCAGGGGACAGGAGCCCGGGCGGTGATGGGTGGCAGAAGAGCGGGCCCGCCGGACAGCGCCGAGGTGGGGCCCGAGAGCAGCTCGTCCGTGAACTGCAGGCCCTGCGCGAGCCGCGCGCGCGCACGCGCTCCTCCTCCTCCGCCTCCGCCTCCTCCTCCTCCTCCGCCTCCTCCTCCTCCTCCTTCTCCTCCTCCTCCTCCTCCTCCTCCTCCTCCTCCAAGGGAGCCGTCACGGACGAGAGTCAGGCGCGAGAAAAGAGGTCAGGGGCCTGGGAGGGGGCGAACAGTCGTGTGCAGAGGCAACGACAGCAGGGAGCGCGGGGAGAACGACGACGGGGAGACAGACGCCGCCCCATTCTGCCCCCACGGCAGCGATAGCAAGACAGCAGCAACAAACACGTTGCGCGAAAGGGTCGGCTTTATGGCCTCCGCCCAAAGCTCAGCGAGCTCGACAAGCACACCATTGCAACTTTCGTCAGATCGCGTCACGAACAAATATACAAACACACGAGCAAACACACACACACACACACAAACACACACGCACACGCACACACGTTCGGGCGCATGCGGCCAGGGCGATGACCCACGTGGGTGATTAACCAGTTACACGCCCGCGCACTCGTAAAGGAGTCATGTTGGGCGACCCGCTCGGAAGCAACAGATAAAGGGCAACGATAGAGGGGGAGGATGGCACAAGGGGAAGCATCGACCTGAAATCGGCAACACATCGCCGAAAGATCGGCGATTGGCCCCCGATAGCGAACCCGCACGTTCGTGGAAGGGTGGAGCCACCCTTCCCCTATCGGCGATCAGTGGGCGGTTGGGGATCGGTGCGCCCCACCCCGGGGCCCATCCCCCCAATCGTTGCCTCTGAATAGAACCCGTGGGGATACCCCGCCATGGGGGAAAACAACAGGGGGGGGGACCGGCTCACGGGGGGAGATCGACCTGGGATCGGCGACACATCGCCGGTAAATCGGTACTTGGTCCTTTATAGCGACACCACATGGTCCTGGGCGGACATTCGCTATCGGGCCCCATGTCGACGATCAGTGGGCGCATGGGGGTCGACCTTAGCCCCCCACCCCAACGTTGCTCCTGCAAGCAGCTGGAAATCTGGAGTCTTGCCGACCCTGCCGGCGGCGGAGGGGAAGGGGAGGGGGGGCTGGGACGAACAACAACGCCCGACACGCCCATCCCCTCCGCCACGCACCGTTGGAAAAGGGCAACGATTTGTCATAAGGAATACGCATCGGTCTGGAGAACTCCCACCAGCCCTCTGGGCGTGAGTGCTTTCGAATGTTTCATTTTCCCGCCACCGTCTCCCCCTGTGGGGAAGAACTTCTCTCTGTCCCCTATGAATGTGCGCCCCCTCCCCAACCCGACTGGCGACAAACCCGGGACACTGCGGGCCCCTCCCGTGGTCCTTGCCAAAAGGAAGCGCAACATGTACTGGCCGGCAAATCAGGACCGTGCGCGCGTGCCTCTTGCGTTTGTCGCATTCGTTTTTGACGAGAAGGGCGAGGGCACTCCGCATGCCGACCATCCCTGCCAGCACACGATGCGAAATATAATGTGCGGCAACATCTACACCGCGCGCTGGTGCCCAATGCAACATTGTTTTTGACAAGGATGGCGGCGGTGCACTCAAAAAGTCCTCTTTGCGCAGCCCCATTTATTCCTGTCAGCGCACGATGGAGAGCACACTGGGCGGCAGAAGCTGATGTATGCGCGGACGCCCCGCCGATATCTCGCAGTGGCGTTTGACAGGAAGGGGCGGCAGGGGCGCGCGCGCGGGGTTGCTGCAGCCTCCAGGCCGAAGCCCAGACCCCTTGAGCTGACGGCCCTGGCTCGCCTCCGAAGGTGGCGAGGGTCCGGCCCTAAATCGTGAACCCAACCGTGGCGCGACGACATCAGCACGCCAAACGAATTGTCAGTGACAACAGACAGTTTGCAATCGTTCCTCGCGACGACGTAATCAGAGCGCGCGAGCGCATGTTCCAGACGCCGCCTCGCGAGCGCATATGCCGCGCGGTCTGTCCCCCTCTCCATCCTTGAGCCGCTTCGGGAGGAGGGACAAGGGAGAGCGGAACGGTGAAAGGACCAAGACGGGCCAAGGGGCCTCACACGCAAACGGGGCTGGCGCTCAAAATGGAATGCGCCGATGACGGAGGGCAGAACTCACACCCACGCCCACGCCCAGCGCGGTGGCGCTGACCGCTGTGGCTTCCCAGCGCGTGTCACAGGCCACGCCGACGCGCGGGCACTCCACTGCGAGTCGGTGACTTGGGCGGGTGCGGTAGAATGGCGACGTCGGCAGAGGCAGACACGATGATGACTACAGCGGTGCTAATGACGACGATGACGATGACAACGGCAAGGCACATGACGGCGCGGATACTGACACAGCGATGACGATGACGGCGACCACACGTCGGTGATGATTTGTTTGAAAAAATATCGATATGCGTGCGCGGCCGACGGGCCAGCATGCCTCGACGCGGGCATACGACCGAAGACCGAGACCCCACGACGCGATCACGCGGATGTCCGTGAACATTGCGCGCAATTCGAGCCGGTCATGGCGCAACTCGATACTCACAAAAAAAAATACTCCTTCGGATTTTGAAGACCCATCCTTTTTTAAAAGAAGCCCTGCTCAAAGACCAAGGGTTTTTTAAACGGACCCTTCGTTGCCGCCATCCTCGAAGTCGCCGCGCTCCCGATAGACATGGCCCGCGTCATTTGATGGAGGACGCGGGCGCGGGGGCGCGGGCTCCTCTGAAGGATGGCGCTGATGAGCATGGTCTTATGCGACAGGGATCGTGCCCCCCCCCCCCCACCCAGCACGCGCGCAAGGATTTTCGAATGGTTTCGACATACGCGCGCGAGAGGCGCTCATGGTCGCATGCGACAAAAATGTTCACAACGCATGGTTTTCTTAAGAATTCGCAACAGCGCGCGCGCTGTCATACCGCAGAAACATGTGGTTCGGGAACAACTTCAGGACACTCGAAATGAATGAAATCCTTGGGAAGCCGACGGCTTCAAAGATTCCTGTATGTGCGCGCAACCACGCGCGTGCACTTTTTGATAAGCGAGTGTGCGCGCATATTGCTCGTGCAAAAGGGTGGTTGGGGGGGTACAGACAGGCCTGGCTGAGATGACATGAAATCGCATGTAGAAGGGGCGATGGGGCAGAATCGCATGTAAACCGCACATCCCCAGGGCAGGGGGATGATCCACGAGGGGGGGTAAATCCGAATTCCTTCCGTGCAAAATGAAAATCACCCTTACGAAGTTTCAATCATCAACTCCACTGTTCGCGCAATCGCCCACCTAACCCCCCGCAACTTGGTTTGCAATACCCATGCGGCGGCGATTGCGATGACTGTTCGGCGCTGGTTGGCGCATCGGTGCGGCCGCGCCAGCACGCGCAGGACCGAGCGCAGAGTGGCCAGCTGGTCTGGCGCGACCGACGCGGCCTCGGTGACGCTGACCGCTGGGCACGTACCAGCACGCCCCGCAGGCCGCGCTGATGCGGGGGCAATTCAGTGCGAGTCGGTGGCTCGGGGGGGGCCCATTATCGTGGCCACGTCGATGACGGCAGACACGGTTATGATAGTAGCGATGCTGGCGACGACGATGGCAACGACGATGGCAAGGCCAAGGAGGCCCCGATGCTGGTCACGCAGACGACGGCGATGGTGTCCACGTGTCGATAATGAAACCGTTGAAGGATCTCAACATGCTCGCGCAGCCGACAGGAGCGAGCGGTCCGCATTGTCTTACTCGAAATGGATCGTGCCACCCAAGCACGCGCGCAAGGGCGCTCGAATGATTTCGGCACGCGCACGGTCAGCACACGTGGCCACACATGATGAACACATTGAAAACATGTTGTCGTACAGGTTCGCAAGAATACGCGCGCACACTGGGTTTGCAAACGAAGTGTGCAAAACATGAAAAACATGTTTTGCGCTTAAATATGTTACCGGAATCCTCGATGTGCGATGCGTAGAAACCTTAGGGCGCTTCAAAGATGTCGGCATGCGCGCGCGGCGGCCCGCGCGTGGAATTCGTCGTCTTTGTTCAAGGAGCCACTGGAGCCGGTTGAGTTGTGATAAAAAGGAGCGCGCACGCATAACATGATTGACGAGGATGTTGGCGGGGGGGGGCCCTGTTTGGCTGAGATGGCACGAGTTATTCATATGTCAAGTGGGCGACGGGGCAAAGCCGTATGTATATTGCCCATCACGAGGGGTGATAAATCCGAAAGGTGGCGATGGTGGGTTCTACTTCCTCAGAAAGCACGAACAACCGACATGGTGCAACATTCGTGGTGCAATATGAGTTGTGCGATTTTTGTTGCGCATGGTCTTTGGTGCGCCCTAGGTGGTGCACACGGTGTTTTCTGGAATTTTCGATGAGCACATATATAAAGATACGCATGTAGATGGACGCCCCCCCCCCCCCCCCCCCCCCCCCCAGTGCCAGTGCCCTTTTTAACCAAAAATAACTTGCGACGGTGGTGTTATTCCTTTCCGCCTCCTCCATCATCCTCTTCGTCTTTCTCGCCCCTCGCCATCGCCCGCGCGTCCGCCCCCTGTGTCTCCTGTCGGTTTCGTGCGTTTCTTCGTGCCGAATGATCAAGGATGCTCCTCGACTGTCCTCGCCGAAGGAAAGATGCACACGTCCGAGCGATGCCAGGGATCTCTATGCATGTTGTTTTTTTCTCTCTCTCTCTCTCTCTCTCTCTCTCTCTCTCTCTGTCTCTCTCTCTCTCTCTCTCTCTCTCTCTCTCTCTCTCTCTCTCTCTCTCTCTCTCTCTCTCCCTCTCTCTATTTATCTATTTCTTCTTTTTTTTGTTCTCTTCTCTCTCTCTCTCTCTCTCTCTCTCTCTCTCTCTCTCTCTCTCTCTCTCTCTCTCTCTCTCTCTCTCTCTCTCTCTCTCTCTCTCTCTCTCTCTCTCTCTCTCTCTCTCTCTCTCTCTCTCCTCTCTCTCTCTCTCTCTCTCTCTCTCTCTCTCTCTCTCTCTCTCTCTCTCTCTCTCTCTCTCTCTCTCTCTCGCTTTCTCTCTCGCGCCACCGTCGGCGCGG